AAGAAGTCTGAGAACTTGTCAACTAATTGATCAACGGGATGTATGAGAAGGAAGAGACAGGGAATTATCCTTAAAGAACAAATAAACTTTGTTTTTTTGTACTCTTTTAATTATTACATATGAAAGATGTGTGGTTAGTCTTATGCGGAACACCAAATTCATTCTTAAAAAACTTGTGGTTAATTAATACCGAGCGATTAAAAGTTGCCAAAAAGTCGCCTGCTTCCCTCCCGCCCGCCAACGAAACCACAGACAGGTTACGTATCTCTGTCGCCAGAGCACTGCAGTGACGTCATATGAGGAACGATTTTCAGTTAGTTGTATATTAAGTGTGTAGCACGCTCGTCATTTTGATGATTTCTCGACATCAACGAAGACATGCCGAATCGTTGAGTTGTCGTCAATTGCTCCTAGTGGTCGGGCGATGGTGTCACCATGCACAGATTTCCACAGGACCCCGCAGTTCGTGCTAAATGGGTTATGTTTGTGAGTGCAAAGCGAGCGTTGTGGAAGCCTGAAACGATATCTTACTTGTATTCAGATCGCTTCACGGAAGTTAAAGAATCAAAACTTCTTACTAGTTGTAGTAACATATGTATATGATTGGTGACCATAAAGATTTTCCATGACACAACGTGTAACATAACGATTTCTTCCTCGGAAGCGAGGTTGTGATCGAAGTAACAATAATACTGTATTATATTGACACCCACCTCGCTTCCACGAGAGAAATTGTTGTGTTATAAGCTATGTCATGCAAAATCCTATTGGCTATCAATCAAATACATATTTTAATACCAGTAGAAAGGAGTTTTGATTTTGTAACTCGGTGAAAACAAACCTAAATAGCATTTATCCTCAGACTGGCGGATGAAAATCGTAAAGTGACGGGCTAAAGTCTGTTAGAATTAATGAGATTATGGTTTGTTTTCATCAAATTAGAAAATCAAAACTACTTTCTACTCGTAGTTAAATATGTATTTGAATCATGACCAAAAGGATTTTGCATGACACAACTTATAACATAACAATTTCTTCCACGGAAGCCGGAGGTGGGGGTCGAAGTGACAATACTGCGCTGATAAATTTCTTGCTACATTCACGTGGTTAACGTCCACTCACCAGTATGTAGATACTAGTCAATGTACGTCTTTATATTTGGTCTTTTAATCCTAATTAGTTTAAAATCATACTTGTATGCATTTTGAAACTAAATAAAAAGCATACGATCTGCTGATACTTATAGTGAATTTATAACTGGACTGTAATATCTAGACATTTTATAGTTTGCCAATGTGAATCATAATTCGCACACACGCCCTAGTGTATGTTGTCTGTCTCATTACACTTCACGGCGAAAACAATGATTCTGTTGAATGCTACGACAAATGAAAAACAACAAAATGCAAATATTAAAATTAAAACAGATTAAAGTGATAGGAACAATGTCAGGCTTGTTCGAGGAATGTATCCCTCAATATCCACAAAAACGAGTGAGATGACATTCATCTGCATCTGTTCCAAGTGATGTGTCATTTAACAGTCTAATATACGAAAAAGTGATATATCGTTTCAGGTATTTCACATTGGTGTATAGTCCCGATGGTCACCCAATTGCAAGATAGCACACCTGGCAACTAATTGCTTGATGTCCGCCATTCTTTAAAAAAAAGTAATTTAGTTAGCCAATAATGAGCATTCATCTGCAGCTGTTCCAAGTGATGTGTCATTTAACAGTCTAATATACGAAAAAATGATATATCGTTTCAGGTATTTCACATTGGTGTATAGTCTCAATGGTCATCCAATTGCAAGATAGCACACCTGGCATCTAATTGCTTGATGTCCGCAATTCTTTAAAAAAAAGTAATTTAGTTAGCCAATAATGAGCATTCAATCAATGTATTGGCAGTTAATCCTTTGAAAGAAGGAGGTTGTTTTTACGCAGACACAGACACGACAGAGTGTATTCAGTATAGATTAGTAAATCTACATACATAAACACTACCTTTTGACAAATCCGCTGTGTAAGATAAAAGTAATTAATCAATCAGCGTGTTATCAGTTAATCCTTTGATCAATGTTTATAATGTTGAGTATTTACTCCAGACACAAGAAATGCCAAATGGGAACCTTTGTCGGGTAATCTAAGTGTGTTACCACTAATTATACCTGTAAATTCATTAACTGACCATCAAGTGAATGATGACAAATAACATGTGTAGGTATATACCACCTAACACGGGTTTCAACAAGGGAGTATTAATTGCTGTATTGCATGCAATTGTAATTGCATGTGAAAACTTATGGGCCGACACTGTTTTGAGAATACGAACGGATTCATTGTTGCATAAGAAATACATATAAGCATTTGCTGTGTGCTAAAGCTGTATGTACCTATTTACCTAAGTAAATTTTCAGATTCTTCTAGCAATGGCTAAGTAGGGTTGTTTAAGTTACGGATTCAAAAAAATCGAATGTCAAGTTTTAATATCATACGTAATAGACGTCATATTTTTACATGACATGATTAAATATCGAGGTAACAAAACCCACAGAAATTGGATCAATTTGGATCAGTCATTATACCATCTAGGCATTAGAAATCCTGAAAAAGCCCACACTGTTTTGATACTTTATTACAATCAGACAAGAACTACCGGGGATATTTTCAAGTAAGTGCATCTGATGGGCATCCACCCTTCTTAATGTCGCACTGTTTAGGTTGATGAAGTTAATCGTAACCGCTATCACTAACGTCTGGTTCGAACAAATAAGGACTAGCGACACCAAGCCATTTTGACAGAATCGTCTATGAAAACAAGTTGTAACTCGGAAACTCGGCAAGGCAGGAGACAAAATTAAATGACAGTAGATTGTGAGAACATATAGCTTTCATTTTTCACATCAGTTGTCACAATTTCAGGTTTATACAAACCTGTAAACAAGATAATTTACCCCCTGAAATGTACATGAATTCTGCATCGGCCCTCATATCTATTCCTCATATGACGTCACAGAGATGCGCCGCTCTGATTGGTTGAAATTTTCGTTCGTGGGTGAGAATTCTGCACTGTTGTCAAAAAGGTCGATTTAAATTAATTAAAGATCGAAATGAGTAGTGTTTATGATGGGGTTTCATTTATGACGATGCCAATTAGTGATTTATGTATTTGTACCTCCCTACAGTATATGTGATCTTAAAACAGAAGCCTGTTAGCTATCCTGAACACGTCCTTCTGTCCATCCACATCCTGCAGTGCAGCTTTGTAATAGCTTGACTTGACTGTCTCCATAAGAGAGTCAACATGATGTCTCTGGTTGTCATGCATCTGCTTATGAATGGCTAACTTGGTGTGTCTAAACTGTTTCTCGAGTTTACGCCTCAGGCGTTTAGCCGATCAAATTTCGTCATTATACCAGGGTGATTCTGGATGAAGAGTTACAGTACAGGACTTCAATGGAGCATGATGGTCAGCAAGTTTCCTGAGCTGAGTGTCATACAGAGTAACATATTCACTGGCGGAGAGATCTGAAGAGCTAGAAATAGCTGTTGTCATATCTAGCTGAAACTCTTGAAGATCAATGTCCTTCCACTTGCGAAATGAGATTTTCTTTCTGGTCTGTCTTTCAACTGAGATGTTGACTTACACCTGTGTAAAGATACACCTGAAGAATTAAGCCTGTACAGATACCCCCGTAGTAAGATACACCTGTAGTCTTCAGTCTGTTGAGATACACCTGTAGTCTTCAGTCTGCTGAGATACACCTGTAGTCTTCAGTCTGTTGAGATACACCTGTAGTCTTCAGTCTGTTGAGATACACCTGTAGTCTTCAGTCTGTTGAGATACACCTGTAGTCTTCAGTCTGTTGAGATACACCTGTAGTCTTCAGTCTGTTGTTGAGATACACCTGTAGTCTTCAGATACACCTGTAGTCTTCAGTCTGTTCAGATACACCTGTAGTCTTCAGTCTGTTGAGATACACCTGTAGTCTTCTGTTGAGATACACCTGTAGTCTTCAGTCTGTCTGTTGAGAGATACACCTCTGTTGAGTCTTCTTCAGTCTGTTGAGATACTGTAGTGTCTGTTCAGATACACCTGTAGTCTCTCAGTCTGTTGAGATACACCTCTGTAGTCTTAGTCTTCAGTCTGTTGAGATACACCTGTAGTCTTCAGTCTGTTGAGATACACCTGTAGTCTTCAGTCTGTTCAGATACACCTGTAGTCTTCAGTCTGTTGAGATACACCTGTAGTCTTCAGTCTGTTGAGATACACCTGTAGTCTTCAGTTTGATGAGATACACCTGTAGTCTTCAGTCTGTTCAGATACACCTGTAGTCTTCAGTCTGTTGAGATACACCTGTAGTCTTCAGTCTGTTGAGATACACCTGTAGTCTTGTTGAGATACACCTGTAGTCTTCTTGAGTCTGTTGAGATACACCTGTAGTCTTCAGTCTGTTGAGATACACCTGTAGTCTTCAGTCTGTTGAGATACACCTGTAGTCTTCAGTCTGTTGAGATACACCTGTAGTCTTCAGTCTGTTCAGATACACCTGTAGTCTTCAGTTTGATGAGATACACCTGTAGTCTTCAGTCTGTTGAGATACACCTGTAGTCTTCAGCCTGTTGAGATACACCTGTAGTCTTCAGTCTGTTGAGATGCACCTGTAGTCTTCAGTCTGTTGAGATACACCTGTAGTCTTCAGTCTGTTGAGATACACCTGTAGTCTTCAGTCTGTTCAGATACACCTGTAGTCTTCAGTCTGTTGAGATACACCTGTAGTCTTCAGTCTGTTGAGATACACCTGTAGTCTTCAGTCTGTTCAGATACACCTGTAGTCTTCAGTCTGTTGAGATACACCTGTAGTCTTCAGTCTGTTGAGATACACCTGTAGTCTTCAGTCTGTTGAGATACACCTGTAGTCTTCAGTCTGTTCAGATACATGTCATGTCCTTCTGCTGCTTACATACACCTGCAGTGGTCAACCAACTCTTTCAGGTATTGCCATTTACTTTGCTGAGGATCTGTCAAAGTCCCATACCCCGGCCAACGTGGGATTTACGGGGGGCATGTGGAACTGGGTGCTGCATGGAATCATACAGACAACAGTGCAACAACCTCCCCCAGTGAAGTATCATCCTGGTAAGTGAACCTTTATCATAACACCATGCTTGTAAGTGTACCTTTATCATCACACCATAGTGCTAAGTGTACCTTTATCATAACACCATGCTGGTAAGTGTACCTTTATCATAACACCATGCTGGTAAGTGTACCTTTATCATAACACCATGCTGGTAAGTGTACCTTTATCATAACACCATGCTCCACAGACACCAATGTAACAACCTCCCCAGTGAAGCATCATCCTGGTAAGTGTACCTTTATCATAACACCATGCTGGTAAGTGTACCTTTATCATCACACCATGATGGTAAGTGTACTTTTATCATAACACCATGCTACTAAGTGTACCTTTATCATAACACCATGCTGCTAAGTGTACCTTTATCATAACACCATGCTGGTAAGTGTACCTTTATCATAACACCATGCTGCTAAGTGTACCTTTATCATCACACCATGCTGGTAAGTGTACCTTTATCATAACATCATGCTGGTAAGTGTACCTTTATCATAACACCATGCTGCTAAGTGTACCTTTATCATAACACCATGCTGGTAAGTGTACCTTTATCATAACACCATGCTGGTAAGTGTACCTTTATCATAACACCATGTTGCTAAGGGTACCTTTATCATCACACCATGCTGGTAAGTGTACCTTTATCATAACACCATGCTGGTAAGTGTACCTTTATCATAACACCATGCTGGTAAGTGTACCTTTATCATCACACCATGCTGGTAAGTGTACCTTTATCATAACACCATGCTGGTAAGTGTACCTTTATCATAACACCATGCTGCTAAGGGTACCTTTATCATCACACCATGCTGGTAAGTGTACCTTTATCATAGCACCATGCTGGTAAGTGTACCTTTATCATAACACCATGCTGCTAAGTGTACCTTTATCATCACACTATGCTGCTAAGTGTACCTTTATCATAACACCATGCTGGTAAGTGTACCTTTATCATAACACCATGCTGGTAAGTGTACCTTTATCATAACACCATGCTGGTAAGTGTACCTTTATCATAACACCATGCTGCTAAGTGTACTTTTATCATAACACTGGAATGTGTAGCATTCAGTAAAATACAATACTTTTAAGTGTATCTTCAGTTTAACACCACGTTGGTAAGTGTAACTTCAGTCTAACACCATGTTGCTAAGTGTAAATTCGGTTTAAACACCACGTAGGTAAGTGTAGCTTCAGTTTAACACCACGTAGGTAAGTGTAGCTTCAGTTTAACACCATGTTGGTAAGTGTAACTTCAGTTTAACACCATGTTGGTAAGTGTAACTTCGGTTAAACACCATGTTGGTACCCCCACCACATCCCTCACTGCCGACATATGTTCCAGATGTTGTCGCTGGTGTTGCTGTTGGCTGCCTGCTGTTGGGGTTGGTGCTTGGAGTGCTGTTCACGTGTCTGGGTCTGCGGAATCGGGTGAGGAAGACACCTGGTGCTCCGCTCAAGCGAGACCACCAGGTGGAGTACCACGATGAAGATGACGACCTCAACTTGTGATCATCTGCAGCTGTCGCCATTCACCAACAACAAACAAATAATGTTCGCTTAGGTTGGAGCACTGAGTCCCCCTGTACAAATGATTCAATGGTTAAACTGATTTCAAGACTTACTAATTTTTAGCAGGACTGGGCTTTGTGTACTTTTACTGTCACATTAACACAACATAGAATTTTCTGCATTTATTTTTTGGAAATCCCAAGGAAGGTACATCTGTTACATGATAAGGTTGATTTTGTCCTGGGAAATGATTGTTTGTTCCGAGGGATGTAATTTGTGACATTGATTCCAGTACTTAACATTTCACTGAACTTCGGTTCAGCAACTGTTGGAGACGGTTCCCACTGTGGAGATTACTTTGGCTTCAGTCAGAGCTGTTTTAACCTGTGGACTTGGTTTTTATGTTTGTGCACAAGTATTAATTTATTTTGCTCAGTTGAAAAAATGTCACAATTCTATGAAAGTAATAAGGAAGATCAGACAATTCTGCATTGAGTGCAGAGACAGTTGAGTGTAGTTATACAGTTGGGGTCGGGGTGTTGGGGGGAGAGAGTTATTATGGAATATCAACACATGCAGCTTGCATCTGTTTGCTAACAGGTCAATGTGAGCTGTGATGTTTATAACTCTGTTGTGTTGTCATGGTTACTGTTGCTATGGTAGTATATATTGCAGGAGTTGGGAGGAGTGTTGGGAATCAGAAACCAAATCCACTATCGACTATCGGAGGATTATTGATTATAATCGAAATATATACATGTTTAATGAAATCACCAATTTGAAGGGTTTTTCCCTAGTTTTTTTCTAATAAATGTTCCTTATAACTAATACTGTCATGCAATGAAATGCATGCATGCAAGAAAGACACTGGAATTGTAGTTAAACCATAAAAGTAGTTAAAATTTTACAATGTGCATAGCTTTACACTGTTGAGCGCATGTTTTTTCGTGAATATTTGTCAAATTTAATAGCTAGTTTACTTCATTCAAGTGTGTTAAACTAAAACAACAAAATTCCAATTAATCGAAACTATGTTTTTTTACAATTGATAATCATTTTTAATCCTTCTTTCGATCGATTTTCGATCATCGGAACACCACTAGTTGTGAGGGTGTGTTGCTTTGGTTACTGTCACTATGGCAGCTCTTGCTTGAAAGTGTGGAGTGAAGGGGCTGTATTGGTGTGTTGTCATGGTTACTGCTGCTGTTACACCCCTCCTGACCAGTTTGCCAAAGTTTGAACATCTCTGGTTGGCCTGTCCTGTTCACTGATATTCCAGTGTACATGGATCTCCATCACCATGACAACGATTGTAGCAAGGCAGACAATCCGTCTCCTTACAGGCACATACAGAGTTTCCTAGGCCTCCATTCCGCCCTGTACGGCAGCAGATTCAGTGTGAATCCACCCTTTCACCCTTGGAGATGGTTCAAGTAATCAGCACGTTCTCAATTGATTATTACAACAGAGGTTGTGATTTGAACATTCTAATCAGCACATTCTTATGGGAATATTACAACAGAGGTTGTGATTTAAACATTCTAATCAGCACATTCTTCGTTTAGTATGACAAAATAGTTTAAAGAACCACTAAACTTTGTTTTTTGTTACTCTTTTAACCATTACATATGAAAGATTTGTGGTTAGTCTTATGCGGAACACCAAATTTATTCTTTAAAAACTTAATTAATACCGAGCATTTAAAAGTTGCCAAAAAGTCGCCTGCCTCCCTCTCGCCCGCCAACGAAACCACAGACAGGTTACGTAACTCTGTCGCCAGAGCACTGCAGTGACGTCATATGAGGAACGATTTTCAGTTAGTTGTATAGAAAATGTGTAGCACGCTCATCATTTTGATGATTTCTCGACATCAACGACGACATGCCGTCAATCGCTGCTTTGTCGCCAGTTGCTCCTAGGGTCGGGCGATGGTGTCCCCATGCACAGATTTCCACAGGACCCCGCGAGTTCGTAAGCTAAATGGGTTATGTTTGTGAGTGCGGTTGAAAGCGCTTGTGGAAGCCTGAAACGATATCTTACTTGTGTTCAGATCGCTTCACGGCAGTTAAAGAATCAAAACTACTTACTAGTTGTAGTAAAATATGCATATGATTGATGACCATAAAGATTTTCTATGACACAACTTGTAACATAACGATTTCTTCCTCGGAAGTGAGGTTGTGATCGAAGTAACAATAATATTGTAAGTAGTATTATATTGACACCCACCTCGCTGCCACGAGAGAAATTGTTATGATATACGCTATGTCATGCAAAATCCTATTGGCCATCAATAAAATACATATTTTACTACCAGTAGAAAGTAGTTTTGATTTTGTAACTCGGTGAAAACAAACCTAAATACCATTTATCCTCAGACTGGCGGATGTTCCCGATAGGGCGCCACCATTTTTAAAACTAAAAAAATCTGTTAGAATTAATGAGATCATATGTAATGCCGGTTAATCCTTTGAAAGAAGGACGTTTTTACGCAGACACCGACACGACAGAGTGTATTCAGTATAGATTAGTAAATCTACATACATAAACACTACCTTTTGACAATTCCGCTGTGTAAGATAAAAGTAATTAATCAATCAGCGTGTTATCAGTCAATCCTTTGATCGATGTTTATAATGTTGAATATTTACTCCAGACACAAGAAATGCCAAATGGGAACCTTTGTCGGGTAATCTAAGTGTGTTACCACTAATTATACCTGTAAATTCATTAACTGACCATCAAGTGAATGATGACAAATAACATGTGTAGGTTTATACCACCTAACACGGGTTACAACGAGGGAGTATTAATTGCTGTATTGCATGTGAAAACTTATGGGCCCACACTGTTTTGAGATTACAAACAGATTTTTACATGACATGATTAAATATCGAGGTAAAACAACACAGAAATGGGATCAATTTGGATCAGTCATTATACAAATAGGGCCTAACGACACCAATCGATTTTGACAGAATCGTCTATGAAAACAATTTGTAACCTCGAAACTAGGCAAAGCAGGAGACAAAATTAAATGACAGTAGATTGTGAGAACATATAGCTTTCATTTTCCACAACAATTGTCACTATTTCAGGTTTATACAAGCCTGTAAACACGATAATTTACCCCCTAAAATGTAGATGAATTCTGCATCGGCTCTCAAAGCTATTCCTCATATGACGTCACAGAGGCGCGCCGCTCTGATTGGTTGAAATTTCGTTCGCGGGTGAGAATTGTGCACTGTTGTCAAAAAGGTCGATTTAAGTCAATTAAAGGTCGAAATGAGTAGTTTTAATGACGGGGTTTCATTTATAACGATGCCAGTTAGTGATTTATGTATTTGTACCCCCTAGGGTTTATGTGACCTTTAACCAGAGACCAAATACTGTTTTTATAGTCCCTTCTTCATTTAGGTCCACAAAAGAGGTTGTCATTTGAACATTTTGATCAGCACATTCATCATGTGAAACACATGTTGTGATGACCTAGTGGAAAACTATGTTGCCCATCAGAGTTGCCTCCCTGACGAGTGCCTGAAACCGATAATAGTGAGTTTGAATCCCTGATTCACCCTGATGATGTTTCTAGGTTTGTCAGAACCATGTGTTTGCTCACAATCTGATAATGGCTGATACCTGTAACAGTTTTCCTCGCTTTACTTACTTCATAAACATTCTGGGTTTGATAGTTGAATGCCCTGAGGAGCATCTTCCTGACAGATGATTACTTGGTGTATGTCAGGAAATAGTTTAGATGTACGTCCCATTACATGTGTTGGTAGTGAATATCTTTGAGATTTGTGTGTACAGTTGTATCAAATCTTCTATTTATGACATGTCTTGAATCTAGAGCTATGGAAGTATGCCTAGAGCTATGGAAGTATGCCTACAGCAGAGAAAAAGAAGTGTTTTGTATCTGAAAAGTTGCACATTTTACAAACAAAGCAACACAATGTTACAAATGCCAAAGGCCCTGTGTACAGTGTATGTATTTTAACATTAATGCCTTATGTTCTGTGGTGGTCTGCTGATCTCAGGAATCTGGTAACCAGGGAGACCGTGAGACATAGCTTTCTGAAAAAATGTGCACTGTTATATTTATGAAGCTTAGCTGGGATCATTGTAATCTGCAGTGTATTGATTGCCCTGATCTGGGGCATGGCAACAGGTGAAGAATATTTTGTGTAGCACTATTGTGTTGTGAACACAGGCTGACAATGTTGATGACTCCTGAATCGAGAGTTATCCCCCTTGTTACATTCCGTGACCTTGAGTGTTGTGTTGTAAACTGCGCAGTCTAAGTAGACTTAGGCTCAGTATAATTCGTTACACTGCTATACTGAGTCGAACAAAACCTTGTGGAAGGTTGTGTCAGGTAACCTTTGAGTGACCTATGACCGTCCAGTCAAACACGTGACGGCCGAACAGATTTAACCAATCAGACAACGGCTACTATTTAGGGTTTGGCGGGACTTACAAAATGGATGTTCTCTTCCCCGGTCTCCAACACTGATCTCATAACAAATGAAAACCTGCATAAAACATAGATATATGACCTGCAGAATATACGCTTTTGGGTTTCTGTTGACATGGCTATCATTAGCTAATATTTCCACAAGCTGACATCCTTGAAAACTGACAACACGCTATTCTCAGCGACTGTCTACTCACTCTTGTGGCGTGCTCCATGTGCATCACTCGGAAGCGATCGTACGGAAAATAGCATTCGGAATAGTTTGGGTACAAAACTTTTTCGAGGTAAAAGTTCAAAAGGTATGTGCGAAGGTTTTGTTAGACTCAGTATAGCAGTGTAACGAATAATACTGTGCTTAAGTTTACTTAGACTGGTAAACTGCATTGTTGTTGTTCAGTGTGATTGTGAAGATGTCCTCATCCTGCAACATTCCAATACATAGATGCATCATCATCATGTTCATCATCAACATTCCAGGACTTTGTATACCACCGTTGAATATTTAGCCTGCAGAGGTACACTATGGCAATACGGTTATTATTGATCTTATATTCATATATTTTTTTCTCATTCAATGAATGACTGATTCTGTTGGTTTGTAAAACTGCAAATATTTTATCAGTTGGATTGTTCAACGCTGCACCTGCCAACCTAGTGTAGAGATCTCCCTGTCTACCTGGTGTAGAGATCTCCCTGCCTACCTGGTGTAGAGATCTCCCTGTCTACCAGGTGTAGAAATCTCCCTCCCTGTCTACCAGGTGTAGAGATCTCCCTGGGTACCTGGTGTAGAGATCTCCCTGTCCTACCAGGTGTAGAGATCTCCCTGCCTACCTGGTGTAGAGATCTCCCTGGGTACCTGGTGTAGAGATCTCCCTGTCTACCAGGTGTAGAGATCTCCCTGCCTACCTGGTGTAGAGATCACCCTGTTTACCAGGTGTAGAGATCTCCCTGGGTACCTGGTGTAGAGATCTCCCTGTCTACCAGGTGTAGAGATCTCCCTGTCTACCAGGTGTAGAGATCTCCCTGTCTACCTGGTGTAGAGGTCTCCCTCCCAACCTGGTGTAGAGATCTCCCTGTCTACCAGGTGTAGAGATCCCCCTGTCTACCAGGTGTAGAGATCTCCCTGTCTACCTGGTGTAGAGGTCTCCCTCCCAACCTGGTGTAGAGATCTCCCTGGGTACCTGGTGTAGAGATCTCCCTGTCTACCAGGTGTAGAGATCTCCCTGTCTACCAGGTGTAGAGATCTCCCTGGGTACCTGGTGTAGAGATCTCCCTGTGTACCTGGTGTAGAGATCTCCCTGGTGTAGAGATCTCCCTCCCAACCTGGTGTAGAGATCTCCCTGGGTACCAGGTGTAGAGGTCTCCCTGTCTACCAGGTGTAGAGATCTCCCTGTGTACCTGGTGTAGAGATCTCCCTGGTGTAGAGATCTCCCTGTCTACCTGGTGTAGAGATCTCCCTGTCTACCTGGTGTAGAGTACTTACACCACCTACCTGATCTAGAGCTCTACCCTCCTGCCTGATCTGGAACTCCCTTTGCCTTCCTTGCTCTGTGGGGATAGTTTAGTTGTGTCAATTGTCTTATGTATCTGTCCATCATGTATGAATCATTGACTCTATGAGCTTGTCATTTATCAGCTGTATACCCGGGACTACAAAAGGGGCAAAGTAATAAACAGCTATGTTCATTTGGCAATGGTGAATAACTCGATATTTTGTGTATCCTTATTGTCAGAATACTGCTTGTGTCAAAAATGTCATGTAAGGTAGATTTACAGTATTTGCGGGAGTTTTGCTTGGATGACAGACTGGTACTACTTACATAGTACATCAAGTCCCACTGCAGGAGCAGTGGCGAGGGTGCTGGGAGAACGTTGTGTGGCTCGTTGATGTTGCTGTGTGACGTGTTGTATGTTGTGTACAGACAGCAGATGTTTGGGTAGAACCTACACTGAAATACTGTTTATGGGGATGGTAATGTTCTCCGGACAATGACACAGACAAGTGTATATATTTAGTGAATCTTCTGAAGTGTGTATCAGTGTAACTAACAATAAACAACCAACATACTTCTTTCCTAACAATAACCAACAGGAAGGTAGAACTTCTCGCTTCAGACAGATCCAGACTAACAATGTTTCACTTGAACACATGCAGTAAACACACACACACACACACACACACACACACACACACACAACATACACTATAAATGGCTCTATGACTGCTTAGCTTGACTTGCAATAATACTGAAAATCTTTTGAAACGGTCATGTTTTTGCAGTTCATGTTTTCATCTTGTAGTGTTCCCATCTGCAAGTCAGCTGAAGCTTGCTCTGTGTTGCATAGCAACCAGTTTACTCAACTTGGCAGAACAAAACAAATTATATTAATTATTTTTCAAAACATGTAGAGGAAACTGTTCATTTTTCATATTCCACCAGTAACTTAGTACTGTTGCAAACAAAAATGCATGTGTCATCCATTTTTGTATGCTGAGTGCGATATACTTGTTTGTCCGACAAGTCATCAGATTATGTTATATATTTAACACAGATTCTCTTAATGTACTCTGAAAGCACTGTTTGTAGGCAGCCTGAAAATAGTCATCACAAACTGTGTTTAATCACTTGTGCGAAGGTTTTCATACTTTCAGATAATACAGTTCATGCTGACTACCTGATACATGACCATGTGTCTGTGCATTTGTCATGCAAAACCTTTGTTTGCTTTGTAGTTTTAAGATTCTCACAAACCCTTGTACATGCCATGCTTTGTAGGAAACAGTGAAACCTTGCTTCCTTGTCACCCCGGGAAACCGACGGTTTTATGGCGTTATTCTTCTGTGTAAGCTGAGTAGCAATCTGTAATGTGAGGTCAGCAAGTTAAAGTGTTAGGTGGGGATTGGGTTTGCATGGTCTCACTGTGAGAGAGTTTAAATCTTCATCACTGTTTTTGCTGCATCCAATCAATTTTTCGTTTTAGGTTATAATCCCTTCAAAAGATGAATAATTTTGTTTATATTTTATGATCATACAGGTAATATTTTTGGTTTGTGAATAGCAGATATATATTTGTTAAACATGTAATTATAAAGATGGCAACAAGAGTGATAAGTGATGTTTGAATTACCACTCTTTACAGATTCATTTGTGCTGTTTGCCTTTATGCAATTCACTGGTAATAAACAATGGATTTTTACATGTTTCATTGTTGTTGTTTAGTTTAAGAAATAAGACACACACAAAAAAAACCCCAACAAAACAAACCCTACTGACACTTTCCAGATTTACAGTATACAATATGCACAGCATCTCCATTGGAGGATAGGCATCACAAGCATGTGAAACATTCTCCTGTTTTTCACGGAACGGTCTTCTTGAATGGCCATATCAGTGGTGGACAACATCCACCGTCCTGGGGACACGCACAGGAATTCCCTGGCAGCAATGACTACAAAGGCATTATTTCTGATCACTTTAATCTTGACCTCAGCATGTTTGTATATACCAAGGATACCAGAAAGAACATCTGAACAGTGAAACTATCAATTTGATCTGGAAATAAACAAACATTGACAGCTATGAACATTATACAGCATTCTGTTCACTAAAATATCTGACATATCTATATCATCACCTCTCAACCAGCTGATCAATCACGACAGCTTCACCTACAACTTCGCGAATCCATCCCATCAGGTTGATCCTGTCGGACATTTTGTTGTACTGTACGTGAGTAAATATATAGTTGAGTGTGTTCCTGAGATCGTTCTTAACAGACCACAGCTCTATTCATGCTGACATTATATCTATAGGTTGACACCTAACTACACAAGATGTTTCTGAAGAAGCATACTTGAGCTAATGTCTTCCCTCTCCTATGTTTTTCTCGCAAGACATCTTTTTGTTGTAAGGTTGTTGGTGGAAACAGTGTTTGAAACACCTGTCTGCTAAACAGTCACAGACGACACACTTGCCAATGGACAGTCAGTTTTAAAAAGTTGCCCGTCCGATGGTCAGGCTATAATTGTATTCCCTAAATTACCTAAGCATTCTACTTTTAATTAAATGTACAGTTTGTATTCACAGCTAAATTAACTGTAAATGTCAGACATTGATATTAAGTCTCTGTCTTCAATTTCTAATGGCCAAACACTTGGAAACAGGGCTACAGATAAGGGGCATACGGGCGTAATGTATGCCTCAAAATCAATTAAGTATGATATAATATAAGATTTCAAGCGTATCGTGTATGCACATAAATACCTTTGTACGTCTAACATTTAGTTTCCGTGTGTATCGTGCAAAATGGAATCTATTTCGGATAAATACTTGTAAGGTTTCTGTTGCGAAACACGATTTGACACATGAGCAAACACTGACAGTAGGAATCACTTGCGTTGCCATCCACTATTTTTCGATTGGCTAAAAACTACACTGTTCCTATTTATATCGAACCTGACATTTCGCGCATCACACGGTCGCTCATTCTCACGCGTCTTCAAATACAAATTCATGGTTGGAAATAGTGATCGATGAATCGTCCAGACAAACCACATCACCAACTCGCTCACACAAAAACATGTCAGTACTCCTTCAAAATTCTCAGTACACCTCCACTTGCAATATAATGTGTAAGTACACTCAAAAGTTATCTGGAGCCCTGTGGAAATATCCAATCAGACTGCACCCCAGTAATGTTTGGGGCTGGTATTCTTATCAGAGTATTTGAGCAGTCTATTTCTCAAGAAGTCCAATTTAACAAGTTGACAATCCACATGCTTTCTGTTATTTTCTGAGAACTAACACTGGACAGTACCTTTGTTTTGTTTACACTTTTGTTACTTTTTGTTCGTTTGTCTACAAAATTCTGGACTTCAAACACTTTATCTGGTCAGGTAACTTTGCCAGTCTGTCTATCTGGTCAGGTAGCTTTGCAAAGTTGCCAGTCTGGTTGTCTGACATGAATTCATATGTACAAATGAAATTTTGGGAAAATCATTTCAGGTACCAAATAGTGATAAAAAATTTAGTGTGATGTAAAAAGTCATAAGAAATGACTTGTGTATACACATTCACCGACCTAAGAAATGACTTGTGTATACACATTCACCGACCGAAGAAATGACTTGTGTATACACATTCACCGACCTAAGAAATGACTTGTGTATACATTCACCGACCTAAGAAATGACTTGTGTATACACATTCACCGACCTAAGAAATGACTTGTGTATACACATTCACCGACCGAAGAAATGACTTGTGTATACACATTCACCGACCTAAGAAATGACTTGTGTATACACATTCACCGACCTAAGAAATGACTTGTGTATACACATTCACCGACCTAAGAAATGACTTGTGTATACACATTCACCGACCTAAGAAATGACTTGTGTATACACATTCACCGACCGAAGAAAATGACTTGTGTATACACATTCACCGACCTAAGAAATGACTTGTGTATACACATTCACCGACCTAAGAAATGACTTGTGTATACACATTCACCGACCTAAGAAAAAACTTGTGTTGACTTGTGTATACACATTCACCGACCGAAGAAATGACTTGTGTATACACATTCACCGACCTAAGAAATGACTTGTGTATACACATTCACCGACCTAAGAAATGACTTGTGTATACACATTCACCGACCTAAGAAATGACTTGTGTATACACATTCACCGACCGAAGAAATGACTTGTGTATACACATTCACCGACCTAAGAAATGACTTGTGTATACACATTCACCGACCTAAGAAATGACTTGTGTATACACATTCACCGACCTAAGAAATGACTTGTGTATACACATTCACCGACCGAAGAAATGACTTGTGTATACACATTCACCGACCGAAGAAATGACTTGTGTATACACATTCACCGACCGAAGAAATGACTTGTGTATACACATTCACCGACCGAAGAAATGACTTGTGTATACACATTCACCGAATCGAAGAAATGACTTGTGTATACACATTCACCGAACCGAAGAAATGACTTGTGTATACACATTCACCCGATCAAGAAATGACTTGTGTATACACATTCACCGACCTAAGAAATGACTTGTGTATACACATTCACCGATCCTAAGAAATGACTTGTGTATACACATTCACCGACCTAAGAAATGACTTGTGTATACACATTCACCGACCCGAAGAAATGACTTGTGTATACACATTCACCGACCTAAGAAATGACTTGTGTATACACATTCACCGAATCGAAGAAATGACTTGTGTATACACATTCACCGACCGACCGAAGAAATGACTTGTGTACACATTCACCGACCTAAGAAATGACTTGTGTATACACATTCACACCGACCTAAGAAATGACTTGTGTATACACGTTCACCGACCTAAGAAATGACTTGTGTATACACATTCACCGACCCGAAGAAATGACTTGTGTATACACATTCACCGACCGAAGAAATGACTTGTGTATACACATTCACCGACCCTAAGAAATGACTTGTGTATACACATTCACCGACCGAAGAAATGACTTGTGTATACACATTCACCGACCTAAGAAATGACTTGTGTATACACATTCACCGACCCTAAGAAATGACTTGTGTATACACATTCACCCGACCCTAAGAAATGACTTGTGTATACACATTCACCGACCTAAGAAATGACTTGTGTATACACATTCACCGACCTAAGAAATGACTTGTGTATACACATTCACCGACCGAAGAAATGACTTGTGTATACACATTCACCGACTGAAGAAATGACTTGTGTATACACATTCACCGACCGAAGAAATGACTTGTGTATACACATTCACCGACCTAAGAAATGACTTGTGTATACACATTCACCGACCGGAAGAAATGACTTGTGTATACACATTCACCGACCTAAGAAATGACTTGTGTATACACATTCACCGAATCTAAGAAATGACTTGTGTATACACATTCACCGACCCTCCAAGAAATGACTTGTGTATACACATTCACCGACCTAAGAAATGACTTGTGTATACACATTCACCGACCGAAGAAAATGACTTGTGTATACACATTCACCGACCGAAGAAATGACTTGTGTATACACATTCACCGACCGAAGAAATGACTTGTGTATACACATTCACCGACCGAAGAAATGACTTGTGTATACACATTCACCGACCGTAAGAAATGACTTGTGTATACACATTCACCGACCTAAGAAATGACTTGTGTATACACATTCACCGACCGAAGAAATGACTTGTGTATACACATTCACCGACCGAAGAAATGACTTGTGTATACACATTCACCGACCTAAGAAATGACTTGTGTATACACATTCACCGACCTAAGAAATGACTTGTGTATACACATTCACCGACCGAAGAAATGACTTGTGTATACACATTCACCGACCGGTTAAGAAATGACTTGTGTATACACATTCACCGAATCGAAGAAATGACTTGTGTATACACATTCACCGACCTAAGAAATGACTTGTGTATACACATTCACCACCGACCTAAGAAATGACTTGTGTATACACATTCACCGACCTAAGAAATGACTTGTGTATACACATTCACCGACCTAAGAAATGACTTGTGTATACACATTCACCGACCTAAGAAATGACTTGTGTATACACATTCACCGACCTAAGAAATGACTTGTGTATACACATTCACCGACCTAAGAAATGACTTGTGTATACACATTCACCGACCGAAGAAATGACTTGTGTATACACATTCACCGACCGAAGAAATGACTTGTGTATTCACATTCACGTTCACGAGGAACACATGAGTTTCTACATACATGCAGTCAGTAGATGAACAGTGACCCACAAGAGCTGACATCACAGATTCCATGGACAATGGTGCACATGCTGTAACATAGGAGTTGACCCACAAGAGCTGACATCACAGATTCCATGGACAATGGTGCACATGCTGTAACATAGGAGTTGACCCACAAGAGCTGACATCACAGATTCCATGGACAATGGTGCACATGCTGTAACATAGGAGTTGACCCACAAGAGCTGACATCACAGATTCCATGGACAATGGTGCACATGCTGTAACATAGGAGTTGGCCCACAAGAGCTGACATCACAGATTCCATGGACAATGGTGCACATGCTGTAACATAGGAGTTGACCCACAAGAGCTGACATCACAGATTCCATGGACAATGGTGCACATGCTGTAACATAGGAGTTGACCCACAAGAGCTGACATCACAGATTCCATGGACAATGGTGCACATGCTGTAACATAGGAGTTGACCCACAAGAGCTGACATCACAGATTCCATGGACAATGGTGCACATGCTGTAACATAGGAGTTGACCCACAAGAGCTGACATCACAGATTCCATGGACAATGGTGCACATGCTGTAACATAGGAGTTGACCCACAAGAGCTGACATCACAGATTCCATGGACAATGGTGCACATGCTGTAACATAGGAGTTGACCCACAAGAGCTGACATCACAGATTCCATGGACAATGGTGCACATGCAACATGCTGTAACCCACAGGAGTTGGCCCACAATTCCATGCTGACATGCAACATAGAGTTGGCCCACAAGAGCTGACATCACAGATTTCATGGACAGTGCACATGCTGTAACATAGGAGTTGGCCCACAAGAGCTGACATCACAGATTCCATGGACAATGGTGCACATGCTGTAACATAGGAGTTGGCCCACAAGAGCTGACATCACAGATTCCATGGACAATGGTGCACATCAACAGTCGGTTATAGCATCGGCATATCGCCAGGCTCACTGAGCCATCACAGCTGCTGGAGGCTGGTCACGTGGTCCGGGCACCTCTGGACCTGCATCCGGCCAGTTTCACCTGGCCCCACAGTCTGCAGGTGAGTCCCCACCGGAGATGACGTGTAGCAGCTGAGTGGCGTACTGCTTCTCCTCCTGAAACACACACAACAGGTAAACACGCACTGTGAAGTGAAACATGGAAATCCATACGTCAACTGATTTACATCAAGGTAGGCTGAAATGACATGCAAGGTAACTTTGCCACTAAATTCTACAAATCAAGCTTAAACACTAGTGAAAACTACCTCTTGCAGAACGTTCAGTCTGTTGTTTAATGCCCCACTGAACAAAACTCTAGCCCAGCAGCTGTATGTTGTCCAGTCAATAACTGAGGGTAGACCAGGCAATCTCACCGTACAGGTAACACTATCACTAAGTCAGCAAGCTTGACCATCCAATCCATGTGGTTGCCTTTTAACGAAAACTTGGACAATACATGAATGGTTGGGACTTTGAACCCTTTGAAAAAGTACCATTTTCCATTTTTATCAAAGTAAACATTTCCACATGTTTACAGCATATTCTGTAACTGTAAACACTGGCGAGAGGAAGCGACGTATGAGTGAGTGAGTGAATTTAGTTTTACACAGCTTTTAGCAATATATTCCAGCAATATCACCTCAGGGGACACCAGAAGTGGGCTTCACACATTGTACTCATACAATCTCATACATACTCAGGAATCGAACCCGGGTCTTTGGTGTGACAAATGAACGTCTTAACCACAATGCTACCCCACAGCCCCAAGCTTACTACTTTGTGACATGTATTTACATACATTTGGTTGGTGTGCAATCAGAAACTGCAACATTCTGAATACTTTGTAGAATGTGGGGCAAGGTAGGCCCATGAATATATTTGGTAAAGGGGGATTTTCTCTGAAACAATTCACCGAACTCGCCTGAAACAACCTCTACTGACTCGCCTGAGACAACCTCTACTGACTCGCCTGAAACAACCTTCACTGACTTTGAATCACCTGAAACATCCTTCACTGACTATGAATCACCTGAAACATCCTTCACGACTCACCTTAAACATCCTCAATGACTCACCTGGTACAAGCTGAACAGACTGTCCTAGACCAATCTTCTCACCTGAAACTCCTCCTGGTCTTTGATCAGCTGTACCTGGACCAATCTTCTCACCTGAAACTCCTCCTGGTCTTTGATCAGCTGTACCTGGACCAATCTTGGAACTCACCTGAAACTCCTCCTGGTCTTTGATCAGCTGTACCTGGACCAATCTTGGGACTCACCTGAAACTCCTCCTGGTCTTTGATCAGCTGTATTCTGTCTTTCAGCAGCTGGTGCAGCTGCAGCTCTGGTCTCTGACACTCCGTAACTCCGCGACTGTGGTCCGTGATGATCGTCAGCAACGCGCTCCAATCAGGTGTTCATGTAGCTGACTGTGGTCCTCCCCTAGGTGTCCGATCAGCTGATCAATCATGCCAATATCACACAGGATGTCTGAAGAACAAAAGGTTGTCAATATCACACAGGATGTCTGAAGAACAAAAGGTTGCCAATATCACACAGGATGTCTGAAGAACAAAAGGTTGTCAATATCACAGAGGATATCTGAAGAACACCTGGTTGTCAATATCACAGAGGATGTCTGATCAGCTGTAGGTTGCCAATATCACACAGGATGTCTGAAGAACAAAAGGTTGTCAATATCACAGAGGATGTCTGAAGAACAAAAGGTTGTCAATATAACAGAGGATGGGTAAAGAACAAAAGGTTGTCAATATCACACAGGATGTCTGAAGAACAAAAGGTTGTCAATATCACAGAGGATGTCTGAAGAACAAAAGGTTGTCAATATCACACAGGATGTCTGAAGAACAAAAGGTTGTCAATATCACAGAGGATGGGTAAAGAACAAAAGGTTGTCAATATCACACAGGATGTCTGAAGAACAAGACGTCATCAATCAGCTGATACACCATCAAAATCATGTTGCTATGGTTACCTTTATAAGCTGGTTGGTTGGAGCACATGTGGGTGAGGAAGAAGGATGACTTTATCTTGAGCTTCTCCACGTCAGACTGCATCGCCCGCATCAACACAGAGAAGCCATCCTTGTCCACGAAGACTTTCTGTGCTTCACTGTTATCTCGAGATAAACCTGCACATACAACACACTGCATCATAGTAACCATGACAACAGTGATTCAATATCATTTCTCAAAATGTGACATCATTTACATGGATCCACCATCAGTGCATTTAATGCTTCCCACAATCAGCATCCTTCATTCACTGACTAATGAGTGAGTGAGTTAAGTTTTACGCCGCACTCAGCAATATTCCAATGGCGGCGGTCTGTGAATAATCGAGTCTGGACCAGACAATCCAGGGATCAACAGCATGAGCATCGATCTACACAATTGGGATACAATGGCATGTGTCAACCCAGTCAGCGAGCCTGACCACCCGATCCCGTTAGTCGCCTCTTACGACAAGCATGGCTTGCTGAAGACCGATTCTAACCCGGCACTGACTAATGACTGTGATATTTATATTATAAACCATGCACATAGCAGCCCAGTTTCAGAGGCAGATAAACATCCATGTCATTTAGTATTTGTCTCATCACAGACTGTAGTATACTAGTATCAGCATCAGCTACGTAATTGAGATGTGAGTTGAATTCCATGTCATGAGTAGAAATCTTGGCTCCCTCTGATCCTGTGTGTTGTTTTACTCAGCACCTGTTTCATCAAAGTGGAAAACATCAAAGACTTGCATCATTCACGGCTTTCCTCCCTCCTTGATCTGACCTGCCATGATTATGGTGACAGACAGCTCAATGTAACTAACTTACAAGATCAATATGTCACCCAGCTCACTTACACGAGATGGCGTACAGAGCCTTGGTCCTGACAGTTGTGTCAACGTCAGTGTCCAGAAGCTGGAGCAGTGTGGGGAGGAGATCTGCCTCCAGTACAGCTGCCTGACAGTACGGGTTGTTCTGTGTCAATGTGCCGATCAGATCCAGGCATGTCCATCGCAGATCAGGAACATCGCTGTTCAGCAGAACAGGCAGGATTTGAAACCCTCCTATCTTGTGGAAGTCTGCAACAATGAATTGCAGATTGATAACATACATTTCAGCAAACAAACATTCAAACAAGGTTATCTCAAAGAAATGTTTATACCTGGTTACAGAGATTTTATTTTCAACAAAGTAATCCAACCGACGAGGTTCCACGTGGTTACATTGTGAAAGATGTCTGTACAAACCTATAGGTCAATCTGTAAGTGGTACTTGATTTCTGTCTGTACAAACCAAGGTAAAGACATTTCTGTAACCAAGGTAAACTGAAGTGAAATGATCTTGATAAACTGTGAAAGATGTCTGTACAAACCTATAGCAAAGTCAATCTGTAACCAAGGTAAACTGAAGTGAAATGATCTTGATAAACTGTGAAAGATGTCTGTACAAACCTATAGCAAAGTCAATCTGTAACCAAGGTAAACTGAAGTGAAATGATCTTGATAAACTGTGAAAGATGTCTGTACAAACCTATAGCAAAGTCAATCTGTTCTGCCCACTCAACAATCTCCTCAAGTGCAGTTATTTTCTTCTCCACACCATCATCGTCATCTTTCTCCATCCTGACCACACCAATACAAATCTGCATCCTCTCTACAGGGCTCATGCTCATGTCAGTCAGTGCCTTCTCCAGCCATTCCCGCCGCTGAAACATCATCCTCATGATAATAAAAGAAGTTACATAAATTGAAAACAAGTACAACAAAAATGTAACAAGTTCTTGTCATTTTCCCAAAGAAAAGATTTGGGCTCTCTAAATTAAAATACTGTATCAGCAAATTAGCCTTTGGATTTTTAAAACGGAAAATGAATACATGTGTTACAGTACAATTGATAAAAATCAAAGGCTCATCCTGCACAAACAATTTACTTGAAAACTATTACATCAACATTGATTTCAACAGCTAATAAAATGGAAAGATTTCCACCTGTAACACCCGTTTTTTATCATTCTATGCCTAAGATTTATAGAAAGAATATATGTTTTTCTATAGAAAGCCTACCGTAACCCTAACCCTAACATAATGCTAAATCTAAACCCCCTAATCTCTTGAAATAATTATACTAAACAGAATACATTTCAAGCGGGGGTTACGGGCGGAACTCTTACCAAAAATATGATGTTTATAAAACATCCACAATCTGACAGAATAATACACTCGATACAACTGCGCCTTTTGTCTGAATGAAAAAAGGAGCTGATAACAACAACAAAAAGAATAGGAAAATGCCAATTGTCTGAAAAATCAGTCACTCTTATCAATATCATGCTTATGGACCACACAGAGTGTGAATGACATCAAAGTTTTTAGTTTTCTTTAAAAAATACAAATTGGATACATATAAATCTGTGAAATAATTAGATGAGCTTATTCATAACAAACACGTGAAACCTAGCTATTATCCTATATCAAATGTCCAGTTTTCAAAACATGAAAGTCGAACAATATTGATCAGCCATTCTCAGTTAAAATGTACAATTGCCAGTGGAAACTCGCGTGAAAAAAATGTTTCATGTTCGGTAAATTGCATTACTTTTCATGAAGTACAAGCATTAGAGAATCTGTTACTAAATATTCAGCACTCAGGCACAGACAATTACCCTGCAACAGCTCTTTATACTACTGTACAATGAACTTGCAATGAAATTTATGTGACAACACCCAAGCCCCAATGACCAGCTGCCTTTCAAATAGCAATACATTGATATTTTCAAAAACAGCAGAATAAGATAGACCGTTTCACATGTCATCTATGTGGAAAAGCAATATGGACATCCGGGCATGTACTTTATTATTTCAGATGTTTTATACTGGGTATGAAAAAAAGGAAATGTCATTGTTAAAATTGATAAATTTGATTATTTCTCATCGATAGTGCTAAAACAGAATTGCAACTTTAATATACTTGATCATCACCTGTCACCAAAGTGAAACTGTATTGTCAGGCAACAATCTCACATGCTGGTCCTAACGATCTTAACAGTCATCTGTATAACATAGAATTCTTGAGTGACGTGAATTACAATGTTTCATTAATTTTGATTGTTTAGGTGTGTTGTACTGACACACCATTCTCTTAGTAAAGTACAAATTCTAGTACTTTTTGAGTTGAGCCCCATCCGGGATTCAAACTCACACCCTTAGAGTCAGGCACCCAATCGCCAGCACACAAAGTCAGATGCCTAACCCACTCAGCTACCGCAACTTCCACAAAAATGGAAGTCGGACGACTGGTAGTCTAGACTGCGGGCTTTGTGTACCCCTCTGATAAGTGTTAATTGGCACGGCTCCCACGGCCGAAAGCTATGATTACACAATGCCATTTAGAAAGTGGTCAAATGTAACATGTGTTATATTTGGGATTACACTTTCTTAGTAAAGTGTGTAAGACTTTGTGTGCTGGCGATTGGGTGCCTGACTCTGAGGGTGCGGGTTCGAATCCCGGATGGGGCTCAACTCAAAAAGTACTAGAATTTGTACTTTACTAAGAAAGCGTAATCCCAAATATAACACGTTACATTTGACCACTTTCTAAATGGCATTGTGTAATCACACCATTCTCATCAGACATTTTAGTCACTACGGCTCCCGTGGAACAACTTCTGCAGTCGCTTCATTCTGGGTCATAGTAGCTAGAATGCCTTTTACATTTTCTCCATATTTTCTGACATTTCTATTTGTTTCTTTTTCTTCGGTTCTTTTGTCTTTTTCAGCTCTAAACAGTGTACTGATCTGCTTATAGTACTTTTAACAAATTCCAATTCTTTCCACCCGGGTTCGAATCCCCACATGGGTACAATGTGTGAAGCCCATTTCTGGTGTCCCCCGCCGTGATGTTGCTGGAATATTGCTAAAAGCGGCGTAAAACCAAATTCAGTCAGTCAGTCAGTCAGATTCTTTCCTATTCCATTTGTTTCCCAATTCTGATTTTTTCCGTTCTCTGTATTCTCTTTCTCTCTCTACTTGAGATTTAGCTATAATATCTGCAGTAGATGACTCACAATTCAAGCAATAATGTATAGATTCCATCATTTAACATAGTGTCACTTTCCAAACAATCCCTAATAAAGTAATGTAATTTACGTTAACAGTTAATACATTACTTCATAAATGCTTTATTATGAATCGCATGCAATAATATCACTACAGTGTACTCTGTCAATACCGGCATCAGTCAGGACCAAGTAAAAATGCCGGTTTTGACAGAGTGCCGGTTTAGCTAGGTTCACTTATGACGCCTGCGGACACGGAAGTTCGCTGTCGTACTGTCACTTTAGCATTAACAAGATGTTTGAATAAGAAACAAGGCAGTGTCTGAATGCACATTCATGTTGTTTAAATCAAATAAAAATGTCTGGAATCTCTTATTAAATTTCAACTGATCATATATTATCGGCAGAATTAAAATTATAAACTATTTTTCGCAATGTTATTGCAAACAACGATTCTTGTTTATGCTTGACGCAGCTGGTCTACAATAGCATTGTCAAAGAGCAAAGTAACGATGTTTCAAACATCGAGGAAATCATTAAATAAATTGAAATCAACAATAACATTCATAAAGAGTTGTCAAGCGTATTACATATAAAATTACTATTTCCATACTTTGTGCTGCGATCATGCAATGTAAGTCAAGTCACTGACAAGTTACATCTTGGCTTTCACACGATGCTTAATGTGAAAATATATGCATGAAGCATTTTTGTCATAGGCCATAACCTAGCACGATATGTCCAATACGTTCCATAATTTACGTATAGGTAGCGATGTCTTTCTTAATATGTTCAGAATAGCATTATTTTACCCAAAAACTTTCCTCTTAATCTAAAAGCTTCCGTTTACGAGGACGGTATCCCAACAGCCAGTTGTTTAAGGATAAAACATGCATGTTTTTAAGTATTATCATCATACCAAGTGTGCAGTTTCACAAGTATCATATAAAGAACTACATCAACAAATAATCAAACACAGAAAATAGTTCTGTTTACATCTTCAAATTTAAATCTCCACGATCCAACCACAGGTTTACTGCTTTATCACTTGATAGGAAACCATATGTTTCAACATTCAGCTTACTTTATACACCTGTGCTTTATACAGAAAAGATTAATGTAGAGGAAATGAAAAGTAATCTACGTCACAATTCCTGTAATTCACGTTACAGGGCCATGCATGGAAGGCAAAGAATGGTTTTCATAAATCATGTCTGAATTATGAAAGTATTTAAACTGATTAATCAATATATTATCGCATTGTTGCAAAAAATGTAACTCGGAATACAGCAATTGTCAAATAGCATGTGTCAAACAGTACAGTCATCCTTATCATTGAAAAACACTTATTCCATTTCAGGATGAATCAGGAAACTCCGGTTCATCAAAGTTCACATTCGAATGACGTGCTGAAATGACCACTGCTTCCAACGTGTGATTGCATAGGGTATTTGTGGTGCACTTTTTCACTTACAAGGAATTTCTGAACATCTAGTAAACGTGAATTACAAAACGTAAATTACATCCTTACATTAAATGTCCAGGATGAGGGCCACATTACTCCATTTTGGTGATTTAATGTTTGGAAACATACATGGTTATGCTATCCATTTAAATGGATTAGGGTCAGCGTCAATTCCTATGAGACTTATTTTACTGTGACCGTCACGTATGATTATTTAAAAAATTGTTCCAATAACTAAAGATAAAATGGGTTAGTTCGTTCTATTAATTCTCCTTGTTGATCAGTTGACATTTGTTTGAAAGCAATATTGTGTTCAGCATAGAATACAACCCATTTTACTTGCTAAACTTGTTTATATGTAGTAACTGTTATGTATATCAGTTACCGTAACGTAAATTACGTTACTTCTACCGACAAAATTAAACAAAAGATTGTCTTTTTGTTTCTTTCTCATTCTTGATTTTTATGTTCTTAAATATAAAAGCACACTTTGAAATTTCATTATGCTGGTTTATTACGTTGACTTGTAATTAATTAGTATTATCTAGAAGAGAATCATTGACGGCAATATGCTTCGCCGACAGCAAGAAAACCATAACAAACTGTAAATTAACAGTCAGTTTCGAACATTTTCTCAAATGTTTGTGACTATTGTAGTTTACCAAAAACTTCTATTACATTTGACTATTGAATACTGTCGATTTCATAGGAAAAAACGGTTTCACGGTATGGATAGCGGGGCCTGTAACCAGTCCGACAGCATTCGGACAACTTAACTGAGAATGGCTGTGATGTGAAACACGATGAGCCCGAGAATGTTAATTATCGGGTTATTACCTCTTCTGACATCTGGCTAAAATCACTTGAAGTGGTCGGATCCTCTGATTGTGTGGCCTGGACACAGAACTGGAGAAGACCCTTCATGTCTTTAGGTATTCTGGATGGGCCTCGGCCACCACCATTGTCACCAGGTTCTGCCATCTCGAGTACTCAGTAACTGTTCCTCCTGTATCAACTGATTCCGACTTCCACACAGCTGAAGGTTTAGTCAGTCTATACCACGCTCCTCCTCATAACTGCGCACGCATGGGTTTGTTCTATAAATCTGCGCTTAACAAGATTTATGTAGAAACATCGAAGTGTTGCCAGAAGTTTCTGGAATATCTAATCCCGAGGATCGTCAGTCGGCATTTGCGTCTGTCATAAACAAAAGGAATTATATCTGCTGATAACTTATAACTTGTCTTTGTTTACATTTTTAAACTAACAAACAGAAAGGTTTGTATTTATTCAAATGAAAACAAAAACTACACGTGCGAATAAATCGCACATCGCTCACCGGAAGTAGTGATATATCTGCCCCTGGTAAAGGAGAGTTCCACATTTGACTGACTCAGTTTGTTACGTTGCGCAGGGAAAGACGGATCCCAGTCGTACTATTTTTTTTTTATATATTTTTTTATTTATTTTATTTTATTTTTTCGTGGGGATTCGTGTCCAGATTACGATAGATCAGAACACATACATTTGCTGTGAGAGTATAACCAGGGAGTCAACATTACACATTTTAGGAACGATCATGTAAAATAACTCGTTTAAAGCAACAATCTTTTCTCCAGATCAGTACTGTTAATAGGAAAATGGAAATTTTAAGTTACATGGGAGAAATAGACTTTGGAGCAAAAGCAAGTTTTAAGAGTTTGCTTTTATTGTGATTGAAATTATATTTCAAAGCTTAACCACGTAGAAAGATTTTTTAGTCCCGACTTAGGGCATTAGTATAATTTGGCTGTAGTGGCATTTAAGTTCAGGTCCAAATCGTTTTTGGTCATGTGTACTTTTTCTCGACATTATTGTATCAGTTTATGTCTTCATATACATTGTACACATTCATTCGTCATGTTCCTATTTCTAGTGCGAAGGTATTCTCCCAAAGAAATCGCACCTGTATTTTTTTCTAAAATATTTCAAAGCCGCACATATATCTTTTTGAAGACGATCCAACCTATTTTCAAAAGATCTATTTTTAGGGACCGTTCATAATTAATGGCTACGGGAGGCTGATGGTGGTTGTTTTATGGAGAAGCATGCAAAATATGAAAGAACCCCCTAAAATCTATGTACAAATTAAGTTTACAAATTTACGTGATTGATCAGGTTGGGTTTTTTTTGTCTGACTGTTGTACAATATACTAGTACTGTTGTACTATATACTGTTGTACAATATACTGTTGTACAATATACTGTTGTACTATATACTGTTGTACAATATACTGTTGTACTATATACTGTTGTACAATATACTGTTGTACAATATACTGTTGTACAATATATACTGTTGTACAATATACTGTTGTACTATATATTGTACTGTTGTATACTGTTGTAATATACTGTTGTACTATATACTGTTGTACAATATACTGTTGTACTATACCATACTGTTGTACAATATATACTGTTGTACTGTTGTACATATACTATATACTGTTGTACAAATATACTGTTGTACAATATACTGTTGTACAATATACTGTTGTACTATATACTGTTGTACTATATACTGTTGTACTATATACTGTTGTACTATATACTGTTGTACAATATACTGTTGTACAATATACTGTTGTACTATATACTGTTGTACTATATACTGTTGTACAATATACTGTTGTACAATATACTGTTGTACAATATACTGTTGTACAATATACTGTTGTGCAATATACTGTTGTACTATATACTGTTGTACAATATACTGTTGTACAATATACTGTTGTACAATATACTGTTGTACTATATACTGTTGTACAATATACTGTTGTACAATATACTGTTGTACTATATACTGTTGTACAATATACTGTTGTACAATATACTAGTACTGTTGTACAATATACGCCTGTAGTTTCAGCGACAGAAGACATATAGACTGTCACAAAATGCCGAAGAAGCTAACATGTAGTCAGTCCCACATTTATTCCCGTGAAAGGTGACGTCATCAACACCTGGGTCATTTCCACGTCTCCCGTTCCTAATGATAGTTATAGTGAACAGGGCATACACATGACAGATGTACACAATCTGTTTATAACTTTGTAACATGAAAACATTCCACCTTGAAGGAAACAGTCATCACTGTCGCTGATTCCAATCTTTCCAAACACAGACATCCGATGTTCATAGTAAGCCATGGCAAACCGAACTAAATGATATATATTAAATATGAATATACGTCTATAAAAGTACTTACGGTACTTACAGTGTAGTTTACGTGATGGACGGGCACATGCAATAGGGGTCACGTGGTGGGCGTGTACATGTATATACAGTGGGGATCACGTGAAGGCTTATGTATTCACCTTAACTCGACTCTAATGATTTTTTTTTCACCCAGATACCAGGAATCTTGCCACCTTAACCCTTGTGTATGATTAATGGCAATAAAGTCAGCCATTGTTTCCTGCTAAACGCTGACCGACATGCAACAACTACAACCAGCCACCATGCATTGGGAGATAGGAAGCCGTGGTCTGTGATCTCCAGCACTGTTGTCTGGGGCGACTCACTACCACAGACACAGGCCGTTTGTATCGGTCAAACCACCTGCGTCACGTGATCCTGTGACCTCGTAGAACGGCATTGTGTTAGATTACACGAGTTCCAGGTCGTTCAGTCGCTTCGCAGCGGAGGATGTGGAACGTTGTCTTTATTGCTGCCGTTCTTGGATGGGTCACGTGTACCCTAGCGGTCACCCCCCACATTCTGCCCCCTCTGGTCCAAACAGGGCCAGAAGCAGCACTTATTATTGCCCCAGGGGCGTATCTGAAGGGAGAAGTGTATGAACCGTTAGGTAAGTTGGCATCCATCTGTGTGTACAGCGGAACTATATAACACATCCTGTTTGTATTTTTCTAGCTTTATCAATTGATGCAGATGCAAAAATATAATCTTAAAAATATGCGTTGATATACTTTGAATGAATAAATGAATGGTGTTTAACGCCGCAGTGAACAATATTCCTGTCTGATGGCATAGCTCTGTGAACTCTGCAATTAGCCGAGTTTGGACCAGACAATCAAGTGATTGACATGATGAGAATCGATCCAAGCCGTTTACGACAAGCATGCGTTGCTCAAGACCAATTCAGACCCGGATGTTCCGGGGATCACAAGGAAGGAGAAGTTTGGTGTGGGTGTCGGAGTCAATACACGATGTGTTGTATGTGTTCCAGGAACTAAGATCCAGCAGTCGACAGACCTGAAACTCTGGGTCGTCCTTCTCGGGGAGTTCATCGATGACCTTCCAAATCCAGTAGAGCTGCCCAAGGGCATAGCAAACGCTACTGCGCAGCTCCGGAAGCGCGGGATGACGTCTGATAACATATTCCTGGCTGGTCACAGTTTAGGAGGTAAAATCGCAGACGCTAGAACATATCCCACTGAAAGAGCAGTAATGACCTCTCTATTGGTTAGCCTTAACCTCAGTCAACTTGACCAAATTGTTATCTACTTGCCTTACATCGTCTTACCTAGCTATCGGTCGTTTTGCTTTACTTTCGGTGTACAGCTCTCACTACCAATCTGCTTACCCTACACGAAGAACTATATTACTAAGGCCATGTTCTCGGTTCATAATGAATTATTTTAATATTTTAATCTTTGGACGAACAGACTATTTATGTTCACGTTTTTATCTCGACCACAATTGGTTGTTTACCAAAGAATACCAGAGACAGTACTCTGCTGACACAGTTCAGGTGACAGTACTCTGCTGACAGACCTCAGGTGACAGTACTCTGCTGACAGACCTCAGGTGACAGTACTCTGCTGACACAGTTCAGGTGACAGTATTCAGGTGACAGTACTCTGCTGACAGACCTCAGGTGACAGTACTCTGCTGACACAGTTCAGGTGACAGTACTCTGCTGACACAGTTCAGCAATACATCCGTGTGTGTGGCGTTTTGCCAGGTGTCTTTGTGGGCGAGTATGGGAAGTCTCATGCGCAAGAGTTAAAGGGCATCTTGCTGCTGGCGTCTTACCTCACCAAGGGGAATCCCCTGTCCCAGTATCCTGTTCCTGTCCTCACCATCTCCGGCGACCTGGACGGCATGACACGCATTACCAGGATCGCCGACACCTTCCAGTGAGTAATTGCTAACCGTTTAGATTTTAACACTATGTACTTTACTGCGTCACAATGCCAACACACAATGGTTTCTTGTAGATTTCATGTGCAAATACAAAAGTAGTGTCCCTTGACTGTAACAGGTTCCCTTGATATTAATTCTGAACCTATACCCTAGTATCAGCAAAATTATGCTTACAACCTGCCACACCACTTAAGGATTTCGAATCAGGCATAATCTAGTTTTTGAAACGTTCGCTCGTCCCGGGTCCGACTCACAACATGTGAAACCGTTCCTGATGCCCCGGCTTGAATGTTGCCAAAAGCATGCTCACTCACTCACTCCCTCCCTCACTAACTCACTCCCATGGACCATAATCTGTAATCGGGTGATGTAGCTGAAATGTTGAAAGGGCAGACTCTTGTGTAATAGAAAACCTCCTTGTGTTGATATCTCAGGCAAATGAGAAGCCGCTGAACTGAGACACATGAACACTTTGTTAGAGGATATCTAGTATCACATAAAAAAGAGATTGTGTGGTTGTCCGTAGGCAGCTAAAAGGCGACGTCGCCAACAACGCCAGCGCCATGTACCGCACCCCCGTCATCGTCATGTCTGGAATAAACCACGGCCAGTTCGCATCTGGTAAAATGACCCCAAGCGTCCTACAGAAGGACCTTGACCCGGAAGTGAACCTGACGACTGCGCATGAGGTCATAGCTCGGCACTGTAACGATTTTATGGTGGCGACGTTGAGGCAACCAACAAGTGAGGTGACGACTGCTCAGAAGGCCTTGACCGAGGCGTACAAGAACACCGGCGTTATCACGGAGGTAGGGCTGTTGGCTTAGATCAATCACAATACGACTGTATTCACTCATCTATATTCTAAGTAAAAACACTATATTTCTTGGATCTAGACATCTTTCAGATGTATTGCACCCAATACATCAACTGCACCCAGCCATCTCGGCATATTAAATAGCTTTTGTGTGGTCGAGGTTATATTGTTGGTGTGAAACGAAGGTGGATAGTTCTCCGTTGCTAGATACTGCGTTTTCGCTTCCAGCCTCTGATTCAGATGAAGGCATTGGACGAGAATGACCACCTGGTGTCCGGATGGAGCATCCAGGCGCAGAAGATCCTTGCTGACAATGTGGTGTCCAATCTCGAGGTGATTGTTACTTATACTAACCTGTGTTTTTTACAACGAGTAGCCTGTGTATACAAACACGGTTTAACTGTGTATACAAACACGGGTTAACTGTGTATACAAACACGGGTTAACTGTGTATACAAACACGGGTTAACTGTGTGTAGAAACACGGGCCTGACCAGGTGAGCTACAACACCCGTACATACGTGTGCGGATCCTGTTACCAGCACACGTGTTTTATAACACAACATGCCTGACAAACCAGTGGCTACTGACATGAAAGACTGTCTGGGCATGGCGACATTCAGGCCAAGCGCCCGGTAGGCGACTCTCACCGAAGAAGACCTAGTTTTTCACACTCACATAAAACCTAGTACTTCACACTCAAAGAAAACCTAATACTTCACATCCATACCTTATACTTCACACCCACAGAAGAACCAAAACTTCACATCAGCAGAACACCTAGTACGTTATGTTTCAGGTTTTCTCTGTATTTTCACTAGTTTGGTTTCTCTGTGTTTCCTGTGATGATCTCCGTCTAGTAACAACCAGACTGTGTTTGTAAAGGTGGTCAATAGTGTCTATGACTACACGGAGTTCGGCCTGTCGAAACCAAAGATTAACAAGACCGGATCCGGTGAAGTAACTGTAGCTACGTACACCTACGTGGACGTCCCTTCCAACCCCATGGACATCTCCACGAATCTTGACTCGCCCCTACAGCTCGAGGTGAAGATGAAATCACGTGAAGCAATAGCTGGAGCAGCGACCTCTGGTGGCAGATCTGTTACAGACTCCCCCGGAAGTTGCAGGGATATTAACGAGGTACTGCTGAACACCAGGTGTCCACCGATTCAGTTGATGATTTAAACATATTTGTTTCCAATGAAAGGAAGCGGATTGGTAAACAAGCATAAGCTTATATAAATACCGCTCCGGGATACAAAACATCTCAGTAATATGACATTAGTGTTGATGCTTCCGTGTAGCATGATGATAAGATAAACTTCTTCTTAATATGATACTGAGGTTGTAACGCCATAGTAATATGATACTGAGGTTGTAACGTCACAGAGGTTGTAACGTCATATAATATGATACTGAGGTTGTAACGTCACAGTAATATGATACTGAGGTTGTAACGTCATAGTAATATGATACTGAGGTTGTAACATCTCACTAATAAGACATTAAGACGTGTACGTTAACAGCATGATAACCACGTTGTAACGTCTCGGTAATATGAGAGTAATATCGTGATGTCTCTGCCAACAGGCCGCGCTGAAACTGGCGGTTAGTTCTTCCTCCCTCCAAGCACAGTCTCGGTATCGGACACGAGCTGTGCGACCGGTGGTCTTGAAGAACGACACAAGTATGAAGACCGGAATGGAATGGTTGCCAAGTAAACTTCAGCTGACACAAACGGATCGGGCCCTGGAAGTGACTTCCTCCTCCCTGATAACGCCCGTGGATTTTATTATTTCCTCACTGGCCGGGATGTTCTACTGCAAGCTGCTGTCGCCGTATCGCGCCATGGAGTGGATCTATGTGGACTCTCTCAGGAACCATACTCTCTGATGTCGCTGTCGTTCTGTGATGTCGATCAATCAATGTACGGACCAGAGACACATCCCGCCAGTGTTGCAGCATGGTTGCAGCTAACACCGTGTACCACCACCACCACCACCGTGTACCACCACCACCACCACCGTGTACCACCACCACCACCGTGTACCACCATCACTTCATGCATAACTGACATTTGTCTCTCAGTGTGGTCTCAATACAACAACAAGGGTGTGCTTCATCTTTTATGTCTGTTAGCTTTATAGTGATTTCTACATTGTTTCATTAAAATCCTTCATTGTAACTACTCAAGCGCTATCCATTTTTCGTTATTATTTTTAATAAAGGTGGATGTTGTTAAGTTTATATTTCTTCAAACCATCAGGAGTCAGTGTCTCCTACTGAAGTACGGACAGTGAAGATTCACCGCCCAGACATTGCTGGAATATTGTTAAAAGCGGCGTAAAACCATACTCACTCACACAAATGTCGCAGTAACGTCAGCACAACGTGAAACCCAGTGTGGCCACCAGACAGAGATATTAATGTACAGGTTGCGAGGTTGGAGGCAATAATTAGAATAATTCCACGTAAATGGCGCTGAACTCCATGCATGCATCAACGGTTACAAATCATTTGACTGATATAAAGACCCCTCTCTGATCTACTACGATCGATATAGATCTATGAACCATATCGAATGTCTCAGAAATGCCAACCAAAGAATCCACAAACTTTACCGTTTTTCTTCAGAAGGTTGTTAATAACAAATTCAAAGATGTATATATTATCCATACAAGAGCAACCCCGCCGGAAACCAGCCTGGGGTTGTGAAACGTTTTTTCTCAAAAAATCACCCCAAAGCTTCACTGCAGTCTAAACGTCCTAATGTAATGAAATGTTCATAAGAATACAAGTGCGCATGAGGGGATATTCATTGCCATGACAACGGGGGGAGAAAGAGGAGGTATCATTTGCGCATGAATCCTGTGGCGTTTTGAGGATACGATGCATGTGTCAACCAAGTCAACAAGCCTGACCACCCGATCCCCTTAGTCGACCTTTACGACAAGCATGGGTTGTTGAAGTCTAATTCCAACCCGGATCAGGCTCGTTGACTTGGCTGACACGTGTCATCGTATTCTAATTGCGTAGGTCGATGATCATGATGTTAATCACTGGATTGTCTGGTCCAGACTCGAATATTTCCAGACCGTCGTCTTATAGCTGAATATTGCTGAGTGCGGTGTAAAACAACAAACGAACCAAAGGTGCAGTCTCACGTGCTTCATAGTCTCGCATGTATGCCTCGCAGGAATCATAGTGTATTATATTTCTCACCTGCATCCTAGTCTCACGTGCATCATAATCTTGATTACATCCTAGTCTCACGTGCATCATAATCTTGATTACATCCTAATCTCACGTCCATCATAATATCGAGTACATCCAAGTCTCACGTGCATCATATTCTCGAGTACATTCGAGTTTCACACGCACCACAGACTCACGTGCATCATAATCTCGATTACACCTTAGTCTCACATGCATCATAGTCTCGAGTGTATCATAGCCCTCACCTGCATTTTGATATCGCGTACATTATAGAATCACGTGCAAAATTTTCTTACATGCACCATAGTCTCACGTGCACTTTTTACACCAAGGGCATCATAATCATATGTGCATACATTGTCACATGAATCATAATCTCACATGCACCATAGTCCCACGTGCACCTAGATAACAATGCATCATAGTCTCAAGTCCCCAGTAGTCTGGCTTGTATCCTAGTCTCGCATGTCATAGTCTCATGTCCCCCGTAGTCTGGCTTGTATCCTAGTCTCGCATGTCATAATCTCATGTCCCCGTAGTCTGGCTTGTATCCTAGTCTCGCATGTCATAGTCTCATGTCCCCGTAGTCTGGCTTGTATCCTAGTCTCGCATGTCATAGTCTCATGTCCCCCGTAGTCTGGCTTGTATCCTAGTCTCGCATGTCATAATCTCATGTCCCCGTAGTCTGGCTTGTATCCTAGTCTCGCATGTCATAGTCTCATGTCCCCGTAGTCTGGCATGTATCCTAGTCTCGCATGTCATAGTCTCATGTCCCCAATGTCATAGTCTCCGTGGTCTGGCTTGTATCCTAGTCTCGTGATGTCATAGTCTCATCCCCGTAGTCTGGCTTGTATCCTAGTCTCAAGTATGTCATAGTCTCATGTCCCCGTAGTCTGGCTTGTATCCTAGTCTCGCATGTCATAGTCTCAAATCCCCCGTAGTCTGGCTTGTATCCTAGTCTCGCATGTCATAGTCTCATGTCCCCCGTAGTCTGGCTTGTATCCTAGTCTCGCATGTCATAGTCTCATGTCCCCCGTAGTCTGGCTTGTATCCTAGTCTCGCATGTCATAGTCTCATGTCCCCCGTAGTCTGGCTTGTATCCTAGTCTCGCATGTCATAGTCTCATGTCCCCCGTAGTCTGGCTTGTATCCTAGTCTCGCATGTCATAGTCTCATGTCCCCCGTAGTCTGGCTTGTATCCTAGTCTCGCATGTCATAGCCTCATGTCCCCCGTAGTCTGGCTTGTATCCTAGTCTCGCATGTCATAGTCTCATGTCCCCCGTAGTCTGGCTTGTATCCTAGTCTCGCATGTCATAATCTCATGTCCCCTGTAGTCTGGCTTGTATCCTAGTCTCTGCATGTCATAGTCTCATGTCCCCCGTAGTCTGGCTTGTATCCTAGTCTCGCATGTCATAGTCTCATGTCCCCCGTAGTCTGGCTTGTATCCTAGTCTCGCATGTCATAATCTCACGTGCACCTGGATAACAATGCATCATAGTCTCAAGTCCCCCGTAGTCTGGCTTGTATCCTAGTCTCGCATGTCATAGTCTCATGTCCCCCGTAGTCTGGCTTGTATCCTAGTCTCGCATGTCATAGTCTCATGTCCCCCCTTGTATCCTAGTAGTCTGGCTTGTATCCTAGTCTCGCATGTCATAGTCTCATGTCTCTGGCTTGTCCCCGTAGTCTGGCTTGTATCCTAGTCTCGCATGTCATAGTCTCATGTCCCCCGTAGTCTGGCTTGTATCCTAGTCTCGCATGTCATAGCCTCATGTCCCCCGTAGTCTGGCTTGTATCCTAGTCTCGCATGTCATAGTCTCATGTCCCCCGTAGTCTGGCTTGTATCCTAGTCTCTCGCATGTCATAGTCTCATGTCCCCGTAGTCTGGCTTGTATCCTAGTCTCTGCATGTCATAGTCTCATGTCCCCGTAGTCTGGCTTGTATCCTAGTCTCGCATGTCATAGTCTCATGTCCCCCGTAGTCTGGCTTGTATCCTAGTCTCGCATGTCATAGTCTCATGTCCCCGTAGTCTGGCTTGTATCCTAGTCTCGCATGTCATAGTCTCATGTCCCCGTAGTCTGGCTTGTATCCTAGTCTCTGCATGTCATAGTCTCATGTCCCCGTAGTCTGGCTTGTATCCTAGTCTCTCATGTCATAGCCTCATGTCCCCCGTAGTCTGGCTTGTATCCTAGTCTCGCATGTCATAGTCTCATGTGCCCCGTAGTCTGGCTTGTATCCTAGTCTCGCATGTCATAATCTCATGTCCCCCGTAGTCTGGCTTGTATCCTAGTCTCGCATGTCATAGTCTCATGTCCCCCGTAGTCTGGCTTGTATCCTAGTCTCGCATGTCATAGTCTCATGTCCCCCGTAGTCTGGCTTGTATCCTAGTCTCGCATGTCATAGTCTCATGTCCCCCGTAGTCTGGGATGTATCCTAGTCTCGCATGTCATAGTCTCATGTCCCCTGTAGTCTGGCTTGTATCCTAGTCTCTGCATGTCATAGTCTCATGTCCCCGTAGTCTGGCATGTATCTTAGTCTCCATGCATGTCATAGTCTCATGTCCCCGTAGTCTGGCTTGTATCCTAGTCTCGCATGTCTTAGTCTCATGTGCCCCGTAGTCTGGCTTGTATCCTAGTCTCGCATGTCATAATCTCATGTCCCCCGTAGTCTGGCTTGTATCCTAGTCTCGCATGTCATAGTCTCATGTCCCCCCCTGTAGTCTGGCTTGTATCCTAGTCTCGCATGTCATAGTCTCATGTCCCCGTGTGTGTGGCATGTATCCTAGTCTCATGTCATAGTCTCATGTCCCCGTAGTCTGGCTTGTATCCTAGTCTCACATGTCATAGTCTCATGTCCCCCGTAGTCTGGCATGTATCCTAGTCTCGCATGTCATAGCCTCATGTCCCCCGTAGTCTGGCTTGTATCCTAGTCTCGCATGTCATAGTCTCATGTCCCCCGTAGTCTGGCTTGTATCTTAGTCTCGCATGTCATAGTCTCATGTCCCCCGTAGTCTGGCTTGTATCCTAGTCTCGCATGTCATAGTCTCATGTCCCCGTAGTCTGGCTTGTATCCTAGTCTCGCATGTCATAATCTCATGTCCCCGTAGTCTGGCTTGTATCCTAGTCTCGCATGTCATAGTCTCATGTCCCCCGTAGTCTGGCTTGTATCCTAGTCTCGCATGTCATAGTCTCATGTCCCCCGTAGTCTGGCTTGTATCCTAGTCTCGCATGTCATAGTCTCATGTCCCCCGTAGTCTGGCATGTATCCTAGTCTCGCATGTCATAGTCTCATGTCCCCGTAGTCTGGCTTGTATCCTAGTCTCGCATCGCATGTCATAATCTCATGTCCCCGTAGTCTGGCTTGTATCCTAGTCTCGCATGTCATAGTCTCATGTCCCCCGTAGTCTGGCTTGTATCCTAGTCTCGCATGTCATAGTCTCATGTCCCCTGTAGTCTGGCTTGTATCCTAGTCTCGCATGTCATAGTCTCATGTCCCCCATAGTCTGGTTTGTATCCTAGTCTCGCATGTCATAGTCTCATGTCCCCCGTAGTCTGGCATGTATCCTAGTCTCGCATGTCATAGTCTCATGTCCCCCGTAGTCTGGCTTGTATCCTAGTGTCGCATGTCATAGTCTCATGTCCCCCGTAGTCTGGCTTGTATCCTAGTCTCGCATGTCATAGTCTCATGTCCCCCGTAGTCTGGCTTGTATCCTAGTCTCGCATGTCATAGTCTCATGTCCCCGTGGTCTGATGCTTGTATGTCCCCGTAGTCTGGCTTGTATCCTAGTCTCGCATGTCATAGTCTCATGTCCCCCGTAGTCTGGCTTGTATCCTAGTCTCGCATGTCATAGTCTCATGTCCCCCGTAGTCTGGCTTGTATCCTAGTGTCGCATGTCATAGCCTGCGCATGTCCCCCGTAGTCTGGCTTGTATCTTAGTCTCGCATGTCATAGCCTCGCATGTCATAGTCTCACATGCATCATAATCTCACGTGCACTATGGTGCAAGCCTAGTTTGTAAGTAAGTAAGTTTGATTCATATCGTCTTAATCCGATAATACACTCTCAGTTATAGGCTTGACTAACATTATATATCTGGAATGATAAACATTTCACGCAAAAATATTTAATTGAAAGCGGTCATTTTAAAAAACTTAAGGAATTAAGGCATGCCAAAGTATAATAAAACAGGCTGAGAGTTTTCGGATATTTTTGTGCCAGGATGATCAGCTGATCAGATAGAGTGCTATGTGTTCCCGGTACACTCAGACAACAGTGCCAATCTAGGACGAAAGTCATGTTGTAACCTCTGCCAGATTCCAGTTTCCCAGCCTTATCAATTTACATAAGTAAGATATCAAAAACACGGTGACAAGACTCTGCCGTCTCCCACAGTACCTGGTGCAGCTCCCAACATGACGACGACGACGCTGCTGTTGCTGACTTCGGTCCTGGGCACGGCCCTCGCAGTCACCCCCCACATCTTGACCCCACAGGCCAAACAGGCCCCCGAGGCTGCCCTAATCATCGTGCCCGGGGCCTACGTGAAGGGACAGCAGTATATCCCTCTAGGTAGGATTCTAATGGCTGGTCGCTACGTGTGCCCCTATACGTGTTGGGTATTCTTGTGATGTGTCGCTACATGTGCCCCTATACGTGTTGGGTATTCTTGTGATGTGTCGCTACGTGTGCCCCCGCTACATGTGCCCCTATACGTGTTGGGTATTCTTGTGATGTGTCGCTACGTGTGCCCCTATACGTGTTGGGTATTCTTGTGATGTGTCGCTACATGTGCCCCTATACGTGATGGGTATTCTTGTGATGTGTCGCTACGTGTGCCCCTATACGTGTTGGGTATTCTTGTGATGTGTCGCTACATGTGCCCCTATACGTCTTGGGTATTCTTGTGATGTGTCGCTACGTGTGCCCCTATACGTCTTGGGTATTCTTGTGATGTGTCGCTACATGTGCCCCTATACGTGATGGGTATTCTTGTGATGTGTAGCTACATGTGCCCCTATACGTGATGGGTATTCTTGTGATGTGTCGCTACATGTGCCCCAATACATAATGGGTGTTCTTGTGAGGTGTTGCTACATGTGCCCCTATACGTGTTGGGTATTCTTATAGTGTGTCGCTACATGTGCCCCAATACATGATGGGTGTTCTTGTGATGTGTCGCTACATGTGTCCCTATACATGATGGGTGATCTTGTGATGTGTCGCTACATGTGCCCCTATACATGATGGGTGTTCTTGTGATGTGTCGCTACATGTGCCCCTATACATGATGGGTGATCTTGTGATGTGTTGCTACATGTGCCCCTATACGCGTTTGGTATTCTTATAGTGTGTCTCTACATGTGCCCCTATACATAATGGGTATACTTGTGATGTGTCGCTACATGTGCCCCTATACATGTTGGGTATTCTTATAATGTTTCGCTACATGTGCCCCTATACGTGTTGGGTATTCTTATAATGTTTCGCTACATGTGCCCCTACACGTGTTGGGTATTCTTGTGATGTGTAGCTACGTGTGCCCCTATACGCGTTGGGTATTCTTGTTATGCGTCGCTACATGTGCTCCTATACATGTAGCTCATCCTAGTGGTGGGCCGATACACGTGTCCCTAAATATCTTATAGATACTCTTGTCCCAGGTAGATATAATTTTGTACCTCGATCGATCTAAGGTAATTGCAGGTTGATGCATGCGCCCCTATATATCAAGATATTCCACTTACATATTAAAATTCAGTGGCTCTACGTTTCCGGAATACTCTAATACTCCGATGTTGTTGCATGTGCCCCTATATTTCAAGGCAATTCTAAAGACAGATAGTTGTAGGTTGGACTGTGTAATTGAGAAATGTCAATGGAATGATTTTATCAAATAAAACCACCTTTGTCTAACACAGCGCAGGAAATACAGAAGTCGTCTCCCCTGAAACTCTGGGTAGCTGTTCTAGAAGGGTTTATCGGTGATCTCCCGAATCCCATACAGCTGTCGGGAGCTGTGACGGACGCCATTGCGCAGCTCCGGAAGAGCGGAATGACGTCAGACAACGTCTTCTTGGCAGGACACAGTCTCGGAGGTATTACGTCAATCTGATTTTGTCAGAGTCAAACACAGACATGTAAACATGATAATCACTCGCGCGGCAAAATGTTTTACATATTTTGCCACAATAACAACAAGATTCGAAAACAAGCAAGTATATTTTCTGTGCAATTTGAATGTTGTGAAAACATCTCCCTTTGAGTAAGAAATATCTCTTTAAATCAAGAATTGAAACTCGACAATGGTGTGAGCAAAACTAGCATGCAGAGGTCTTGGGAATGGTTTGATCACAACTGAATTGTAAAACAAACAAACACACACATTACTCTCTCTTGAAAGGCGTCTTTGTTGGAAATCATGGGAAGTCTCATGCCAAACAGTTAAAGGGCATCCTGCTGCTGGCGTCCTACATCACCAAGGGGAATCCCCTGTCCCAGTATCCTCTTCCTGTCCTCACTATCTCCGGTGACCTGGACGGTAACACTCGTATCACCAGGATCGCCGACAGCTTCCAGTAAGTCCAAGGATCATTTCTTTGTCGTATCCCTGAAGATCGCTGTAGTTACGAGACCCAAATATACAATGTATATGGATGATGTTACATAGGTATTAATGGAAAGAAAACACGACAAAATTCCCGTTTTACACTTAATGTCTTTGTTCATATGTTCATTTTTTCGAGCCATTATTTGTACCCCACTGTACGAGGTTGGAAATTTTACAAATCATTGTAACAGACTTATTGGTTACTATTCAGTTCAATGGCTTATGAGATGTGTGTTCACACCTACGTCACGGTTGTTTACACACTCGTCACGTCACTGTGTGTGTTCACACCTCCGTCACGGTTGCTTACACACTCGCCGCGTCAGTGTGCGTTCACACCTCCGCCACGGTTGTTTACACACTCGTCACGTGTATGTGACTTACACCTATGACACGGTTGCTTACACACTCTTCAGATCACTGTGTGTGTGTTCACACCTACGTCACGGTCGTTTACACACACGTCACTGTGTGTATGTCTGTTTAAACCTCCATCACTGTTGTTTACAGACTCGTCACGTGACTGTGTTCACACCTACGTCACGGTTGTTTACACACTCGTCACGTCACTGTGTGTGTTCACACCTCCGCCATGGTTGTTTAGACACTCGTCACGTCATTGAGTGTGTTCACACCTCCGTCACTGTTGTTTACACACTCGTCACGTCACTGTGTGTATGTGAGTTGTGACACTTTGTTCATACACTCGTCACATCCCTGTGTCCATATGTATTCACACCTACGTCACGGCTGTTTAAACACTCGTGACTTCACTGTGTGTGTTCACACCTATGTCACGGTTGTTTACACACTCGTCACGTCACTGTGTGTACGTGTGTTCACACCTATGTCACGGTTGTTTACACACTCGTCACGTCACTGTGTGTATGTGTGTTGTGACACTTCCCTCTGGGTTCTTTACACACTCGTCACGTCGCTGTGTCCATGTGTGTTCACACCTCCGTCACGGTTGTTCACACACTCGTCACGTCACTGTGTGTATGTTTGTTCACACCTCCGTCACATCACCCCCGGCTATATTTTGTTTTTATGCCCGTTAAGTCGACGTTGTGCATGTCTAATTTTCCTTGCGTGAATCCGCGTATGTTTGTTTCATCCATAAAACACGAACTCCTGCTTTCCCCGTTTAAATCAGCGTCACGGTGTCCTGTGATTTGTTTAAGGAACCTCCATCAAGTAACTAAGTGTATGTTTAACCGCCCTCATGCATTGTTTAATACTTTGTGAACAACGTGTATTCCAGAGAGTTACAGAGCGACGTTGCCAAGAACGCCAACGCTATGTACCGTACCCCCGTCGTCATCATGTCTGGCATCAACCACGCCCAGTTCGCATCCGGCACCATGCCCTCCGGGGTCCTCAAGGTCGACCTTCCCGCAGAAGTCAGTGAAGCAACAGCGCACAACGTGATTGCGCAGCACTGCAATAACTTCCTGGTTGCAACGCTTCAGCAGCCGCAGACCGACGTCACGAAGGCCAAGGCCGCCCTCAAGCTGGCGTATGACGCTACTAGTCGCATCATGAAAGTAAGAGGTTTTAGACACACAACCTGTAAATGGTTCCTTCTTGTGTGACACAAGGCCAGGCAAGCTACCTTGTATTATGAGTAGTGCTGAATCACAGGCTGAAATCACAACAATGTGAGATGACTACAACACGATTACAGTGGCAGCACTGAGTGGCAGGAAACATTCCCAGGCAGTGTAATACAAAAGTAGTGAGTATTCACGGCACTACAACAGTGGTCAAGTTTCAAAACTAGCCCTGGGCTGAGGATCCAGGACAAGAACGATCTCTACACAAATTGCTCGTCTTAGAATGTGAGGCATGGTTTATCCTCTCTTATGTTACAAAGAAAAAGAAGATTATGGAACTCCCTGGGTCAGAATATGATAGAAAAACTCTTAGGGTTGTAGTACCCTGTCTAAAACCCTCCTTCCAAATATAGCACAAGTCTAAATATAGCACATCCCTAATGTCAGCCACTGGGAATCCTCGTCCAGGCTGGATTATTTACAGACCATCATCATTTGTTGGGAATATTGCTGAATGTAGCCTTAAACAGCAAACAAAACCAACAAAATGACATATGGTTGCCTCATTCATCACAATCCCCATTCTCATCACAGCCGCTGCTCACCCTCAAGACTCTGGACATGAATGACCAGAATATGTCCGGCTGGACCATCCAAGCCCAGAAAATGTTGCTAGGCGACATCGCCAAGACGCTGAAGGTAAGGCAATGGTGCGTCAGCATTCTAGAAGTTCGTGAGTCAATAGCGAAGCATGCGTTTTCATGGATGACAACTTCATGCACAGAGCGGTGTTTCGTTGTAGATTCTTACACCGCTAACAATCTTACAAGCGACATAACGATGTAAGAGTCGATAGGTCGAAGAGTAATAATCAATAAAGTTGTATGCTTCGTCATGAGAATCAGTAACGGTAGCTTGTATATTCGTGTATGACATATCGAGGAGGTCAACCGTTGTATATGTGTGTAAAACACAAGGTCAACCGTTGTGTATCAGTGTATAAAACATAAAGGTCAACTGTTGTATATCAGTGTATAACACAAAGGTCAACTGTTGTATATCAGTGTATAACACATAAAGGTCAACTGTTGTATATGTGTGTATAACACATAAAGGTCAACTCTTGTATATGTGTGTATAACACACACAAGTCAACTGTTGTCTATCGATGTATAACACATAAAGGTCAACTGTTGTATATGTGTGTATAACACATAAAGGTCAACTGTTGTATATCTATGTATAACACAAATGTCAACTGTTGTATATCAGTGTATAACACACACAGGTCAACAGTTGTATATCAGTGTACAACACACAAAGGTCAACTGTTGTATATCTGTGTATAACACACAAAGGCCAACTGTTGTATATCAGTGTATAACACACAAAGGTCAACTGTTGTATATATGTGTATAACACAAAGGTCAACTGTTGTATATCAGTGTATAACACACAAAGGTCAACTGTTGTATATAGATGTATAACACATAAAGGTCAACTGTTGTATATGTGTGTATAACACATAAAGGTCAACTGTTGTATATATGTGTATAACACATAAAGGTCAACTGTTGTATATGTGTGTATAACACACACAAGTCAACTGTTGTATATATGTGTATAACACATAGAGGTCAACTGTTGTATATCAAAGTGTATAACACATAAAGGTCAACTGTTGTATATCCGTGTATAACACATAAAGGTCAACTGTTGTATATCTGTGTATAGCACTCTAAGGTCAACTAAGTATATCAACTAACACATATCTCAACTGTTGTATATCAGTGTATAATACACAAAGGTCAACTGTTGTATATCAGTGTACAATAACACAAAGGTCAACTGTTGTATATCAGTGTATAACACACAAAGGTCAACTGTTGTATATCGATGTATAACACATAAAGGTCAACTGTTGTATATCAGTGTATATAACACACAAAGGTCAACTGTTGTATATCAGTGTATAATAACACACAAAGGTCAACTGTTGTATATCAGTGTATAATACACAAAGGTCAACAGTTGTATATCAGTGTATAATACTCAACTGTTGTATATCTGTGTATAACACACAAAGGCCAACTGTTGTATATATGTGTATAACACACAAAGGTCAACTGTTGTATATCAGTGTATAACACACAAAGGTCAACTGTTGTATATCTGTGTATAACACACAAAGGTCAACTGTTGTATATCGATGTATAACACATAAAGGTCAACTGTTGTATATCTGTGTATAACACATAAAGGTCAACTGTTGTATATGTGTGTATAACACACAAAGGTCAACTGTTGTATATCGATGTATAACACATAAAGGTCAACTGTTGTATATGTGTGTATAACACATAAAGGTCAACTGTTGTATATCTGTGTATAACACAAATGTCAACTGTTGTATATCAGTGTATAACACACACAGGTCAACTGTTGTATATCAGTGTATAACAATGTGCTGTCAACTGTTGTATATCTATGTATAACACACAAAGGTCAACTGTTGTATATCTGTGTATAACACATAAAGGTCAACTATTGTATATCTGTGTATAACACACAAAGGTCAACTGTTGTATATCAGTGTATAACACACAAAGGTCAACTGTTGTATATCAGCGTATAACACACACAGTCAACTGTTGTATATCAGTGTATAACACACAAAGGTCAACTGTTGCATATGTGTGTATAACACTCTAAAGGTCAACTGTTGTATATCTGTGCATAACACACAAAGGTCAACTGTTGTATATCTGTATAATTACACAACTGTTGTATATACATGTGTATAACACATAAAGGTCAACTGTTGTATATCAGTGCATAACACAATACACAAGGTCAACTGTTGTATATCGATGTATAACACATAAGGTCAACTGTTGTATATACGTGTAACAACACACCAACTGTTGTATATCTGTGTATAGCAACAACTGTTGTATATCTGTGTATAACACACAAATATGTCAAACAATACACACAAGTCAACTGTTGTATATCTGTGTATAACACATAAAGGTCAACTGTTGTATATCTGTGTATAACACATAAAGGTCAACTGTTGTATATCTGTGTATAACACACAAAGGTCAACTGTTGTATATCTGTGTATAACACACAAAGGTCAACTGTTGTATATCTGTGTATAACACATAAAGGTCAACTGTTGTATATCTGCGTATAACACACATAGTCAACTATATCTGTGTATAAACTGTTGTATATATGTGTATAACACACACAAGTCAACTGTTGTATATCTGTGTATAGCACTCTAAGGTCAACTGTTGTATATCTGTGTATAACACACAGAGGTCAACAGTTGTATATCAGTGTACAATACACAAAGGTCAACTGTTGTATATCGATGTATAACACATAAAGGTCAACTGTTGTATATCTGTGTATAACACACAAAGGTCAACTGTTGTATATCAGTGTATAATACACAAATGTCAACTGTTGTATATCAGTGTATAACACACAGAGGTCAACAGTTGTATATCAGTGTACAATACACAAAGGTCAACTGTTGTATATCTGTGTATAACACACAAAGGCCAACTGTTGTATATGTGTGTATAACACACAAAGGTCAACTGTTGTATATCAGTGTATAACACACATAAAGGTCAACTGTTGCATATGTGTATAACACACAAAGGTCAACTGTTGTATATCTGTGTATAACACACAAAGGTCAACTGTTGTATATCGATGTATAACACATAAAGGTCAACTGTTGCATATCATAACACATAAAGGTCAACTGTTGTATATCGATTGTATAACACATAAAGGTCAACTGTTGTATATCTGTATAACACATACAAGTCAACTGTTGTATATCTGTGTATAACACAAACAGGTCAACTGTTGTATATATGTGTATAACACTACAGATAGGTCAACTGTTGTATATCTGTGTATAACACCAAAGGTCAACTGTTGTATATCTGTGCACAATACACAGTCAACTGTTGTATATCGATGTATAACACATACGGTCAACTGTTGTATATATGTGTATAACACACAAAGGTCAACTGTTGCATATCAGTGCATAACACACAAAGGTCAACTGTTGTATATCCGTGCATAACACATACTAAGGTCAACTGTTGCATATCTGTGTATAACACATAGGTCAACTGTTGTATATGTGTGTATAACACACAAAGGTCAACTGTTGTATATGCGTATAACACACAAAGTCAACTGTTGTATATCTGTGTATAACACATAAAGGTCAACTGTTGTATATCCGTGCATAAACACATAAAGGTCAACTGTTGTATATCCGTGTATAACACACAAAGGTCAACTGTTGTATATCTGTGCATAACACACAAAGGTCAACTGTTGTGATATCTGTGTATAACACACAACAAGGTCAACTGTTGTATATCTGCATAACACACAAATGTCAACTGTTGTATATCAGTGCATAACACACAAAGGTCAACCGTTGTATATCAGTGCATAACACACAAAGGTCAACTGTTGTATATCACATAAAGGTCAACTGTTGTATATCATGCGTACAACACACAAAGGTCAACTGTTGTATATCAGCGTATAACACACACCAGGTCAACTGTTGTATATCAGTGTATAACACATGCCAGAGGTCAACTGTTGTATATCAGTGTATAACACACACAGGTCAACTGTTGTATATCTGTGTATAACACACAAAGGTCAACTGTTGTATATATGTGTATAACACACACAGGTCAACTGTTGTATATCAGTGTATAATCACACTGGTCAACTGTTGTATATATCTGTGTATAACACACAAAGGTCAACTGTTGCATATCCGTGCATAATACACACAAAGGTCAACTGTTGCATATCGATGTATAACACATAAAGGTCAACTGTTGTATATATCAGTGTATAACACACAAAGGTCAACTGTTGTGTATATCTGTGTATAACACACAAAGTGTCAACTGTTGCATATCTGTGCATAACACACAGAGGTCAACCGGTTGTATATCAAAGTGTAACACACAAAAGGTCAACTGTTGTATATCGATGTATAACACACAAAGGTCAACTGTTGCATATATGCATAACACACAAAGGTCAACTGTTGTATATCGATGTATAACACATAAATGTGTTGTATATCATGTATAACACATATAGGTCAACTGTTGTATATATGCGTATAACACACAAAGGTCAACTGTTGCATATGCAGTGTATAACACACAAAGGTCAACCGTTGCATATCTGTGTACAACACACAAGGTCAACTGTTGTATATCTGTGCATAAATACACAAAGGTCAACTGTTGTATATGCGTGTATAACACACAAAAGGTCAACTGTTGTATATATGTGTATAACACAAGATCAACTGTTGTATATCGTGTATAACACACAAAGGTCAACTGTTGTATATCAATGTATAACACATAAAGGTCAACTGTTGTATATGTGTATAACACACAAAGGTCAACTGTTGTATATCTGTGCGTATAACACACAAGGTCAACTGTTGCATATCCGTGTATAACACACAAAGGTCAACTGTTGTATATCATGTGCATAACACACACAGGTCAATCCGTTGTCATATATGTGCATAACACAATACCGGTCAACTGTTGTCAACTGTGCATAGCACACATAAGTCAACTGTTGTATATCTGTGTATAACACATGAGGTC